ACCTTTGGCAAGATCGTTGCTTCTCCTCTGTTCTCGAACCCTTTTATCATCATGCCTTCCTCTGACTCCCTCCACTCAATAGTTTGACGACAACGCTCCCGTTGGAAAGAACAAAGCACAAGGCCATAAGGTCACTGAGAAAGGAGTAGCTAGATTGATTAATGAGAATTCGAGATGAATAGACTTTTGAAGTTGTAATGTATACACTATATTGAACGAAATACTATCTTCTGGTTCTGCCATTTCCCTTTTCTTTTGCTTGAATGGTGAAAGTTTATGATTCTATTTGTATGACTAGAATATTTGTAATTGTATCATGTTTACCCCTTCTGAAATCATATTTAGAAGATTGGGTAAATTTTGTTCGAGTTAGCGTAATCCAAGTGAATTATGGCGATGATAAAATTGGAGATCGATCAATTAATAATTAAGCAAATTCGGGACTAGTTAATTGTGCACTAATGATGGAGGCTCCAACAATATTTTTTTATAATTTTCTATATTAATTGCGAACATCAACGGGAGGAAAGTGATCCCTCGTAGAAAGATTTAATGATGGGGTGTAAACGTTCCACTCGTTAATGGCTTTTAATGGCAAAGCCTGATATGAGGGGAGGTTTTCCCTTATTGATGACTCTTACCGAGGGTTTTTGGGCTTTTACGATTGTTTTCTCCCATTGTTAAAGTAACTTTTTTTGTAGTGTCCGACATACCCTTCAAGTAACGAAAGATCCTTTTCATGGCTTGCTAATGTTCCTTTCCAAGTTGCAACATGAACCTGCTGCACTACAAAATGTTACTCGAGCTATGTACTCCTTCTCACCTTCAGACTATGGTGCATACTATGCGGATAGATGAATATATGAAGCACTAAGAGTATTTAAAGGCTTTGCTCGAGGCATGCTAAACTTGAACAATATCTTCTGGATGTAGCTTTTATGTGATAAGAAAAGCTTCTTACGATCCCTTTTCTTGTAAATCTCCATACCCAAAATCTTTTTAGCATCTCCCAAATCCTTCTTCCCAACTCAACACTGGGAATCCCCTTTAACCTCTGGACATCATACTTCAATTTTGTTGCAATGAGCATATTATCTACATACATAACCAAATAGATCATCGAACAATCACCAGTCATGCTATGATATACACAACAATCATGTGGACTTCTATTGTGTCACAACTCAAGCAAATAACTGTCAAGCCTCTTGTACCACTACCTCAGAGATTGGTTAAATCCGTACAAGGACTTCTTCAACTTACAAACTTAATCTTCTGTTCCTGGAACCTGGAATCCATTTGGCCAAGTCATGTAAATTTCTTCTTTGAGCTCTCCATGTAGAAAATATGTCTTCATGTCTAGTTGCTCGAGCTTCATGTCCTGATGTGAAACTATTGCTAGTAACACCCTGATTGAATTATGTCTGACTGCTGGTGACAAAATATCATTATAGTCAACAACATCTTTCTATGTGAAGTCTCATGCAACCAGTCAAGCTTTAAATTCAATGCCCTCTACAGATGGAATTCCTTCTTTCTTCTTGAAGATCCACTTATTTGTAATAATCTTCCTTCCCTATAGTCACTTGACAAGCTCCCAAGTTTGAATTATGTCAAGGGATTTCATATCATCTCTCATTGCGGCAAGCCACATAGTAGCTTCTTCACACGTCACAGCTTCTTTGTCGGATCATGGCTCACCCGTATCCACCTTTTTGGCAACCTAAAAGGCATACATTACCATATCGTCAAAGCCATACCTCCTTAGAGGTATCCCTTCACATGTTCTCCTATGTCTATGGAATCTATACACGATTAAGCTTGTGCACTGGATCCTGATGATTCTGCTGATAAGAAACATCCAAATGTTGATCTTCTCCATCTTGGGATTGTGACTCACTCTCATCTCGAGTAGTGTGTAGATCCACCTGTTTATCAACATTCATGTTATCTTCTACAATAGTAACCTTCAACATGGGTTAAACATGGATTTCTCATCTAGCATCATATTTCTACTGATTATAACTCTATGCTCAGGAGGTGACCAGACTCGCTTTCGCTTAACCCCATCCCTGAAACTTAAAAAAACACCCTTCTTAGCTCTTGGATTCAATTTACTCTCATCCACATGATAGTAAACATGACAACCAAAAATTTCCACAGGGAGTAGTCAGCAAGATTACTAGACCACGCCTCATAAGGAGTTTGACACTCGATACCTGAGTGAGGTCCACGGTCGATAAGATAACAAGCATGTTAGTGTCTCTGTCCAAAATATTCTCTGGTCCGGCATTAGAGAGCATACACCTTGCTCTCTCCAACAATGTCTTCATTTGTTCTGCAATGCCATTCTGTTGTGGAGAGTCTCTAATAGTCTAATGACGGTCAATCCTTCCTTCATACAGAATTCGTTGAAATCATAACTAAAAAACTCCATACCATTGTCCGTTCAGAACTTCTTGACCTTTTTGCCAGTTTGGTTCACCACCAGGACCTTCCTCTGCTTGATCTTCTTGAAAGCTTCACTTTTATACTTCATCGTGAATATCAAAGTAAACCTTGAGTAATAATCAATAATAGAAGGGGGAAAACATGTTGCCTCCAATGGATTTAACTCTTGAAGGATCCCAACAATTCGAGTGAAGGTAATCCATCACTTCTTTTATACGGGGGATACCCTTCTTGGGAAACTTACTGTGATGTAACTTCCAAAACCACAATGCTTGCATAATTACAAACGTGCACCTTGTGCACGCACAAAATATCTCTCTTGGCCAAAATTTGCATCCCTGGTTCACCTATATAATCTAGTCTTATATGCCAGAGAGTGATTATTTCTTCCTTGTGAACCTCAGAAGATGTAACTACAGCAGAACCTGACAACACAAACATTTGTAACGCATGCAAGCTATCATGTTTCACGCCTTTCAGAATCTTAGTTGGACCTTTGCAAACATAAGCAACTCCACCTTTTCTCTTGAAACTAAAATCCTTACTGTCGAGTAGACTTAAAGAAATCAGATTCTTGTTCATCTGTGAAACATGTCTAATTTGGTTCACAAGACAGAACAAACCATCACGTGTTTGTATCTTGATGGACCATATTCCAACCACCTTGCAGACAACTCCATTGGCCATAACTACGTTACCACCATCTATATGCTCATAGGTTCAAAACAATTCCTATTCGGAGACATATGTAACGAGTCTGTAGTATCCAGAAACACACATCTCTGCGATGTGCCTTCATATCTATAGCCAAGATGAGATCATCCTCGAAACTGATGTCTACTTCTGCTGCAGTCGCAGAACCTTGCTTGTTCTGTTACCCTTTTCTCTTGGAACAATTGGCTTTCCAATGCCCAAGTTCCTTATAGATATGTTATGCATCGCCAGACTGTTGACCAGGACCCGTCAAATTGGAGCTTCTACTCAATTTCTTTGGTGCCTTACCACCTGCAACAGTCAACCGTGATACTTAAATCTTTGTACCAGATCCAGACATCTTATGTCTAATCTCTCTTGTATGAATAGTATATCTAACATCCTCAAAAGTCATATTCTTTTTCCCGACAATAAAAGAATCCACAAAATTCTCATATGACTGCGTCAAAGAAACTAACAGGATAAGGGGAGCATCTTCATCATCTACTTTGACATCTATGTTACACAAACCTAACAAGATGACATTTAGTTGTTCTAGGTGCTCCCTCAAAGGCACACCTTCCTGCATTCTCAAGCTGAACAAACGGTGCTTGAGATGCCGCTTGTTAGTTACAGACTTCATCGTATACAGACTTTCCAGCTTCAACCACAAGCACACAATAGTCTTCTAAGCAGCAACTTCAATCATGACGTCATCAGATAGTTATAACATATGGTGGTCGAGCGAGCCTTCACCTTCAAGGTGTTCCACTCCTCATCATCGAGCCATATCTTCTTCGGTTTCCCGAATAGCGGCCCCCACTTCCCTTGCTGTTTCAATAGCATCTGCATCTTGATCTGACATATACCAAAGCTATTCTTCCCTATGAACTATTCGATCTTCATATTCACTGAAGTCATTTTTGAATATTGAAAAACCTAACTAAAAACAGCCAGGGGCTCTAGTATTACTTGTACGCACATGACAGGGGCCATAGGCAATAACAAGAAAAGACAACGACCAGCAAGAAAGTACAGAACACAGGGATTTACGTGGTTCACTAACACAACTTGTGTTAGCTACTCCACGAGCGACAGAGAGTCAGCTTCACTATACTTGAGGAGATTACAGATCACAAAGGAGCATGTGAAGTATTTATAGTACTTCTTTAAATGAGCTAACTCTAATCCAATCTGGTAAAGAATAAGATCACAAACCAGGTCCAGTCTGGAAGCCCAAACGTGTAGAAGTTTATACACCATGGATAGGGTGGACCTTGCTCCCCCAAGCCCCCTAACCGGGCACTTCGCCCCTAGACCCCGACTCGCTGACTAGACATTGAAACTCCTGTGAATCAAGTCGGCGACAGATCATCCGATTTGGAACTTTTTTTCAATTATTTATTACGAAGAAGAGAGAATAAAAATGGAAATGAAGTATATTCATGAAATTTTATAAAATAAGAAGGATCTTATTTGAGCGCCATTTAATGGCTTGCTCAGATGATCTCTGCAATTTGCAATGCAGGAGGTAAGAAAAAATAGCGAGAGAATTTAGGCCGGTCGGAAGCCGGCACAGCACAGTTGACAGTTGACACAGTACTACTAATAGAGGAGAGAATAAATGTGCGGTTTTGGGACCAAAAATTTCATACACAGATTAATTAAATTAACAACACTTGAGTACCCCAAATCTGATTTTGTTTGATTTAGACTATTAATCACTAACCACCAACCAAACCAAGCATAGCCACTCCCACACTCTCTCTCTCTCATTGCCCCACACCCACAGCACAGCTGCACTGACCTCACTTGCTCGCTACTTGCTCCTTTGCTTTCCCTTCCCTACGCCTTTTTTTCTTTTGTCTCCATCTCCTTCGCTTTCTCGCTTCCCCTTTCACTCTACCAGTCCTCTACCCTCTGAAAATCTCGCTACCTTTCCTTTTCCTCTTTCTCTGCCTTTACTGGGTTACAGGCAAAAAAAAAAAAAAAAAAAGAGCCGCCCTTAAGCACACTCTTTCTGGGCAGCTCTTTCTGCTACTAAAGGTTCATTTTTCAAGCTCAAAACCCGTATTTGCACTAGGGTTTTCACTCCAATGCCCGCATCTTGAATCTCCTCCCATCTGGTTCGTGTTTCGTGCTGCTCTCGGACTTTTGAAGTAATAATGGGTGCAAATGGGAAGAATGTGTTTGTCTTTGGCGTCATATTCATGCTGCTTTTTGCTGCTGCTGGCGTCTCTTCAGCTCCTATTATCAACTCTCCTGCAAGTAAGTGTGGTTTTCTTTCTTTGGTGAAGCTCCCTTGGATTGGATTGATCTGGTCATTTCTGTTTCGGAGCTCTCCCATGTTTGTTGCCATTCCGGGGAGGTATTTACATTCTCTATCTCTGCAGGGATCGTTAATGGGGTTTTCTCGAATACTTTGTCCGCTATCATGAAATGGATTTGGTCACTCAAAGCCTCCACGAAGACAGGTTGGTTCAGATCTCTTATTTTATAGGCCACATTTCTGCTGTTACTGTGTATTTTTTCAGCTGCCGGTCTAGTTTCTGTGTTTTTGTTTCGGATCCATCACTCAAAATTAGTGGATTGGTTTTCTGTGCAGCAATGTCTGCTCGTCCATTGATGAAGTTCGAGCCTGGTTACACTGTGGAGACCATGTTCGATGGAAGCAAAGCTGGGATCGATCCTCACTCTGTTGAAGTTCTGCCCAGCGGGGAGCTGTTGATTGTGGACTCAACCAACAGTAACCTTTACAAGATACCTTCTTCTATGTCTCTATGTAAGTTGGTTTTTTCATCCCCTTAGTGATTTTAGTTGGGGATGATAGTGATGGTTTCAATTAAGTAGCCTTTCTTAGTGTCTCAACTTTCTCTTGTGACGTCTGGGCCACTACCAACTCTCTGTTTGTCAAAGAACTTGGTTCTTTGAGGGATAACTTGGTCTCATCACCAACAACTTGATTTCTTGCTCAGTTTTAATTTGGAAAAAGTTAATGATAGAATTGGCTTGATTGGTTAAAACTGGTGGGAAAATTGCAGACACCAAGCCTAAGCTAGTTGCTGGATCTGCTGAAGGATACTCTGGATATGTTGATGGGAAGCCAGGTGAGGCAAAGATGAATCACCCAAAGGGAGTTGCTGTAGATGACAGAGGAAATATATATGTTGCGGACACCATGAATAATGCCATCAGGAAGATAAGTGATTCAGGTAAGTGTTTGTTTTTGCAGGAGAATGTAGCGAACCTAGCCTTATTTGGTGAACCTGATAACGGATGATTTGCTAATCCTATGTGTCTGCGGACTTCACAAATTACTAGGGGTTACAACTATTGCTGGAGGGAAGCGAATCAATGGAGGAAGCCATGTAGATGGAGCAAGTGAAGATGCCAAATTCTCAAATGATTTTGATGTAGTCTATATGGGAAGCAGTTGTTCCCTCCTTGTGATAGACAGAGGAAACAAGGCTATTAGAGAGATCCAACTCCACTTTGATGACTGCGCATATCAATATGGAAGTGGCTTTCCATTTGGTAAAATATAGTCCATTCCTTGTCATTCCTTCTGTATTGTCAATACAGGATGTTCTAATCCTATTCTTTCCAGCAGAGATCGTGCTTCTTCTAGCAGCTGGCCTTTTTGGTTACATGGTCGCTTTCCTCCAGCGTAGGATGGGAACAATTGTTTCTTCACAGGGTGTAAGTGTTCTAAAACGGATTTTTTTTTTCCCACACGGCAATGAGGAGACAGACTGTACCATGAAAGGCTTTCTTGTTGCTTTATACATGTATCAATCTTTGTGCAGGATCAAGGTGTGATGAAGTCTAGCATGGCTGAAACTCCAGCAGCTCCCCAACCACTTAAGTCTGTTAGGCCACCATTGATCCCAACTGAAGATGACCAAGAGAAGCAAGAGGAAACCTTATTTGCATCCCTTGGAAAGCTTTTTGCCAACGCGGGTGCATCTTTCATGGAGATTGTGGGAGGAATAGCTCCTGGATTTATGAAGAAGTCAGTTACCTATCATCAATACCAGAACCAGCAGCAGCAGCAAAGACATTCAGCTGGTTGGCCAAGTCAGGACAGCTTCGTAATACCAGATGAAGATGAGCCTCCCACTGTTGAAGCGAGGACCCCTACGCCAAGGAGGAAAACATATGCTTTCATGTCTAAAGATGCAGAAAAGATGAACAGGTGGCGGCAGGGTCGCTCTTTCTATGGTAGTCAAGATGGCGAGATGCCACAGCAACAACATCAGCAGCAGCAACAACAACCGCATCCACAACAGCATCAACACCAGCAGCATCCGTATCAGCATCCACATCAGCAGCATTCTTCACAGCCACAGCCGCAACCGCAGCCGCAGAAACAGCCAAAGCAGCATCGCCATCATCGGTATCAATCCACCACCCCTGGTGCTCCATATACCTACTATGAACAGAGCCATGAGAAAACCAATGAGATTGTGTTTGGAGCAGTTCAAGAGCGTGATGTGAAGCATGAAGCTTCAGTGATTAAGCCTGTTGATTATGCGGATCCCATGTACAACCACCACAGCATTCGAGTCCGTTCTACTTCTACCTATGGCAATAATGCCTATTGAAGCTTAGATGAAGATTGGCAATTTTGGCTAGCAAGTAACATCTGTCCCTCGTCCATCTGCTGAAGAATGGCAATTTTGGCTAGCTAGTAACATCTGTCCCTCGTCCTTGTGGTTAAGAATGACAATTTTCGCTAGCTTATGGGAAATTTTAGATTAAACTTGGGAATGAGGTCTATTTTCAGATGTTAGAAGTGTTGGGGAAGAAGCTGGTGTAGTGCTTTCAAGGTTTTGCTCGTCCTGGTTGAAGCTATGTACTTATATAGGCGGGTTGCCTAAAGTGACAGTTATTATGATTATGTAAAAGCCATGTTGAAAATTTGTGAAATGCAATTTTGGTATTTGCCCGCATAGAATTTAGCTTGTAGCTTATAATTAGCGGAGAATGAGAAATAATACTAGGATAAACATTTTATTACCATTCCACTCAAAGGAGAAACAACAAGCTTTTTACTTACACGGACACCAGCAAGAGCAAAGTGATGGAACATTCACTAACTGCTTCATCTCCTCTTAATTAAACCCAAATTTCCTACCACAGACCCTTCCAGCAGAGCTGGTTCCTTCATTGAGAAAGCAAACCCTCTGATGTTAGCTTCAATCATACTATCTATCCCCCCTGCTACAGATATTGTCTTTGTGTCATCCGCTTCTCCGAACTTGTAGGTATCTTCGTCTGTGGTTGATAATAGCCGACCATTATCAGAAGGCATCAGCTCCTTCAACTCACTAGCAAAAACATCCGACTTTGCTGAATTGCTGCTGTTACTCATATCAGAATCAATTAGGGAGACAAAATCCTTGCTGGGAGTGGGAGGTGAACCTACAGGGTTGTTAATCCTAAACATTAGTGAAACATGAGACAGGCTCAACAGTAGCAGCCTCCTCAAGAGAGCATATAGCTTCAAACTAGCAACTCCGTTTCTGATGTCGGAGCAGAGAGTCCAAGCTTCTTTCACCAGATTGATTATCCAAAGCTTCCATGTCTTGCTGAACCAGAAGGGGTTGTTGCTGGGACGTCCCTGTCTAAAGACATTGTAGGTAAGATAAATAGGTCCCGAAGAAAGTAAATATTTGTCACTCAAAACTCGCAAGGTACCCAGTCTAGCGGAGGAGACTTACCCTTAGACGTGGGAGGACATAAGGGCGAATCGCAAAACCAACAGCGATGCCAAATACGCATGATAGAGCCAGTCCTAGAATCCACCATGGGGCAGCGCCTAACCCTGTTAAGGTTGAATATTTGAACATATCACTTTGATAGACAGTCAACAAGTTCCCTAGAAGTCGACCCAACAAAACTTACCCTGTGAGGCTGGAGAAGCTGTGGTGCAATCTTCAGACTTCAGAGTAATCTGGCGAACCAGTTGGTTTCCATGATCAGCCACCAGCAGCGCACATTGCTGAGCCACGAAAACCAGCTCAAAATCATTTGAGAAAGTTGCATTCTGCGCGGGGCCATCCTTGTTACCTATTTTATTGGAGTACCCTCCAGCGATTGTAGTGACGCCTACAAATAGTCAAATAGTAACATTTGTGAACTGAAATTAAACCCATAAACTAAAGATCAGACCTCTCCTGAACTGAAATCTCCAGACTTCGAAATACAAGAACAAATGCTTTATTTTCTAACTCACCAGAGCTACTTATCTTCCTGATGGCATGGTTGGCCTTATCAGCAACATAAACATTGCCTTTGAGATCAACGGCGAAGTTCTTAGGTTTATTAAACTGAGCCGAACCCAACTCCCCATCCGAGAACCCTAACTTCCCATCTCCGGCGAGCGGCCTCAGCACAACCTCTGGGACAATTTTCACAAACACAAAGACCCTCAATCACACAAGGTTAAACTATTGATGGCGAGCATAAACAGAGGAGACTAAAAAGCGGCCTACTTAACTTACCCTTCGAAGAAGTTGGAAACGCGGCCGAGTAGAAGACGCCGGTGGCATAATTGAGGACGACAAGATCGGATGAGTGGGGAAGAGGCAGGACGTGATAAGGGTTTATGTTGAGATCGTGTCCATCGATCACGGTGGTTACGGTGTACCCATCTTCGAGTATGAGGCCGGCTTCAACTGACAAGAAGAGGGAAGCCGTCACCAGAGCAAGGAGAAAGTAGAAGAGCGAGGGAGCGGCAGCCATGGTTCTGTGTGGGGAAACAGAAGACTTCAGCCGGGGAAGGGAAAACAGTCGAAATGATGACTCGGGGGACTGGACACTGAGACTGGACACTGGAGGAGTGGGGTGGACGCGAGTTGCGTAGGTTGCGGCAATTTTGAGCTAACCATTTTATCGGATTTGTTTGACCTGTTTGGGATGGATCCGACCCGTCTAATGAGCGAGATGGGGCAAAATGGGTATTATCAACAAAATTAATAATTTTTGCACTCAATGTTAAGTACCCAATACCATTGAAAACGTTAAAACAGTGTTGTATTCCATTGAAAACTAAAAATAAAACATTAACACTGATTAGTTTCAACATTAAAAATAACATAATACCATTAATATTGATATTGAAAACAGTTAATAAAACTGAGCAAGTCATTGATCACGAAATTGTATTCGTTGGAAACTAATACAAAATCAATAATTCAAAATGAATTAGGAATAGTAGAAATCGGAAATGAGAAAATCCAGTTAGTAATAACTAATAACACATTTTTTTGGCTAGAAAATTTACAACTTGGGGTAATATGCAAAGTGGGAGCAGACCTAACAACCTCAATGTGTAATCAATTGAACAGGAGAGCATATACCATCTATAGCGCTGGTCTATTTGGTGTCAAAAACAGAGTTGTTCAAATGCCGCAATCCTGTGGCACCTAGGTAACGTCTCTTCCGAAGGTGCCACTATCAAATTAAGAATTTAGAGTGAAAAAGGTATTGTAATCACAAACTTCATCATCATATTTGTATATGGAATTCAAGAAAATAATAAAGTAATGAGAAACTGAGTGCGTCGCTTCGTATTTACCATGATCCTCTTGAGTCTCCATGGCACAACCAGCTTGCATGTTTGTTGGAGCACCATCGGGAAAGATTCAAAATCGGCAACGTAATAGAATGGAGCAAGCCCAGTAACTCACCACCATTGGAGGTCAACGAGGTGAGGGAGGTAGGGGTGTTCAAATGGTTACCATGGTTATTACCAAACCAAATAAGGCTAAATTTCATTAACCATGGAATACAATATCATAACCAAACCGTCCAAACTAATACAACTACCAAATTAACCAACTAGAGTTTAATCGGTTTGTCAATTGCTTAACCAGATTAACCAATATAAAATCATATTATCATTAAGTGAGAAAAAATTCAGTTAATTTATCAATTCACAATTTATATAATGAATAAAATATAACAATCAACACATAGTTATAGTTGACCCTTAACATAAATACATGCAACTAATTCATTATCTTACGGTTAGTATAGAAGTATTCACCTAACAAAAATTTATCACAATGGTATGAGTTAATGAATTGTTGTGTTTGTTTGAATTGACTTAGTCTTTTAGCAATTTTCATAGGCTGAAAAAGACCTTGCTTTTAAGTTTTCATCCAACATAATGTATGAGATTTATCTAAATTAGGCGTTCATATGTTGTGGTCTATACTCTACATATACAAAATGTACATTATAGGAACAATATCAAGCTTTATATTTTATGAGTCTAAAAGGATGAACGTTTAACTCTTGAGTGGTTATTCAAAGTATTAAGTAAGTGTATATATTAGATATATGGCTAATTATTTATCTGGTTAATTTGGTTTGGCTGGTTAGGAGCGTCTGAAACCAAACCAAACCACCTAAACCAAACAAGCTAAAAATTTTAACCAAACCAAACCAATTATCCAAATAGTACTGGTTAAAACGGTTACCATGGTAACCACACCGTTTGAACACCCCTAGAGGGAGGTTTTTGGCCACTGAAGAAGCCACAAAGGAGTCACGCAGGGGAGCTGAGTCAACGAGGAAGAAGTTCGAAGGTAATGGGTTGCAGCCAAAAAACCCTGGCTTTAAATCGCCCACTAAACAAATTTAATTCGGGTCAAATTAAAATGGGTTAAACTAAAAATGAATTAAAATATCCTAATTATCCTTAACTAACCAATAACTAATGATAACATTGACTAATTTATAACCACCCTTGATTAATCTTGGGGTTGGCAGAGCTTTCTGTTCGGACCTTCAAGGTATGAGGTTTGAGGTGGCATGTGTCAAAGTTGCAATATTGCCTTGATCGTGAGTTGGTCAAAATGGCTCTCCCACGTCTTCCCTAGAAAGATTTGTGGGTATGACATTTCACTAGAAATAGGGTAGATACAGTGAAAACAAGCCATCATCTAGCATTATAGACTATCTTGGCTCCTACACTAAAATCTTTAGCCCGGATTATTGATGCACCTATATGAAAAAAGACTTGGGTTGTCCACATTCCCCTTGGGGTAAAATCTTCTTATGGAACTGTCTAATACTGGTTCTACTCACAATAGTTACCCTTCATTCCATAGGGGTAAATTGTCTTATCTGATGTCATGTACGTTGGGGACATCAAAAGAGTATTGGACACTTATTCTTTCATTATTCCCCTTGCCATCAAGCTATTGTTATTTGTGAGATTAAGCGATTTTCTTGCCTCCACCCTAACTATGAATTTTAGTGTATGATGACGCCAAGTTATGCTTATTGAAAACTTCCAAACGCATATTCTCCATTGTGTTTTTCTTCTTTGCATAATCTGAAAATTGCGCAATAAAGTTGTTTCGAACACATTCAACCACATGCCCACTCTTTTGCCAGACTATTTTCCTTCCAAGTCCTCAAACTATCCCCTGAATTTAAGATCTCCCCGACTCCCCAAATCATCTCACTACCTTCGTCATCTTGACTCTGGAAGTGCCTCCCTCAAGATTTCCTGAAGATCGAATTTGATGTTGCCGTTAAAGATTTTGTAGTTTGGAATGGAAACTATCTCTAGCTTGGAACGAAAGAAAATACATGAACCAACATAGTAAGAACGGCTGCGTATTGACGCAAGTCCATTACAGCAAACGACAGCGCAATGACCTTCTTTGGTTTGAGACGGAACGACAGCGCAACGATTAAGACTGGAAACGGCATCGTAGCAAAGAGTCCCAAGATGAGGATTGAACGACGTCGCAGAGAAAATGACCGTTGAAAATTGACTTTTCAATATGTTACGTGCTCCGTGTAGAATATTGCAAAGATGAGAAACCTCTTGAAAAGTCATCATGACGTGTCCAAAAGCAAAATCTACCAGTATGGATCAATCAATATTTTGATATTACCAATTTTTAGATTTTAAAGTTTTTGGATTTTATTTTTTCATATGGCTGTTTCTTTTTTCTCATTCCGGTTTTCATTTGTTTACAGAGAGGCAAAAGTTCGAACAGCACGCACAGTAAATATTCATCTGGTTCTTCTCTCACCCGTCCGTCTCATTTTAAGTGGAGAATTTAAATCAACCAACCAGAAATTACTCCGCTCGTTTCCTTTCTTTCATCAGATCCAAACCTGCAGGCTCTCCCAGATCTCCGAATTTCCTCCCCTTCGGATGTTTTGATTCATCGAATTCGGGGTGAATCCGAGCTCGCTGACTGAATCGGGAGGGAGGAGAGAAAGCACATAGTTGATCGGTCTCTTTCCGCCGCCAAAATTTCGCTTGGATCTGATTGAGCTCTCTGGTGCAAGTTTCCGATAAGGACCCAATCATGAATCCCTTCTCGTCCGGCACGCGTCTCAGGTGAGTGCACATAATCCATCCTTTTTGCACGCTGGCCGCTTCTATGTTGGATCACGCCGAACAATCATCTACGAGAGTTGGAAGTCCTGAAGAATTCTTTGCATAATTTGGCAACTTTAGTTGGCTGCTTCCCTGTTAGGATGGGGATAATGACACTCAATTGCCTTCAGTAGGATTGCACAAATGCAGAGAGTTGTGGTTTTGGGAGTTTCATACACCAAGGAGCTTAGTCGATCGTCGCTGGTACTTTAGGTTAACGGAGGAGGTCTGACATGATTGAAGTTGGGATCCACTTGTTTGTGAAGCTGTTCTTTCTGAAATCTTTGAGCAAAGGAGCAATATAATGGGGAGAAACAAGTGAATGTGCAGTCATTGAATAAGTTTATGGGACAAATTGGGGTTCATACTTGGTGGTGATACTCATTTTCTTCAAGTTTGGGGTGATCTGTTGGTAAATTTAAGAGGAGAATCCACAATGTGCTGGGCTGACATACCCATAGACATAGTTATACTCCCCATAGCTTCTTGTTGAGAATTCATCGAAGAATGAACTCATCTGACTGGAATTGAAGTTTCCTTACGTATTGCTGATGTCATTTAGAACCCTTTCTGCAAGTTATTTTGACTAAATAACTAGCTTTTACTATTTGCATTGTTAGTAACTTTTTAATCTTGTTCTCTTATCTGAGATGACGGAACTACTCATCCAATTATATGCTTCCTGACTATGGGTAAAAACTATTGACGGGGAGAAGATATGAGTGTCAATATTGATGTGTGATGTGTGCCAAAACGTTCATTGCAGGGACATGATTCGGGCAATCCGTGCTTGCAAAACTGCAGCAGAGGAGCGCGCCGTTGTTAGAAAAGAGTGTGCTGCTATACGAGCTGCTATTAATGAGAATGATCAAGACTATAGACATCGTAACCTGGCAAAACTCATGTTTATTCACATGCTGGGTTATCCAACACATTTTGGGCAAATGGAGTGCCTGAAGTTGATTGCATCACCTGGATTTCCTGAGAAGAGAATAGGATATCTTGGTCTGATGCTGCTTCTTGACGAAAGACAGGAAGTCCTAATGCTGGTCACGAACTCTGTAAAACAGTATCCAGTTGATTTATATTTCATGAATTGTTTGAAATTTCTTATGTCGTACAGCACATATCTTCTGTTTGTATTCTTCTTGCAAATTTCTGGCATTCAGCATTGTCATTTTGATATCTGAAACTTGGATTCCTTAACCTAAGCGATAGAGATCTTAACCACACAAACCAGTATATTGTGGGACTTGCCCTTTGTGCTTTGGGGAATATTTGTTCAGCAGAAATGGCACGGGATCTGGCACCAGAAGTAGAGAGACTGCTGCAATTTCGAGACCCGAATATTCGGAAAAAAGTTAGTTGGGCTTATATTAGTATTTGGTTCAAATCTGTGATATTTTATTTTGTTGTAGTGAACATATACGTGCTACTTATACTTTTTCTTAGTTGTTTTTTAACTCCCCTAGTCTGTCCTATTCTTTTAATGGGTTGCATGTCATTTGATTGTGTTGTGTACAGGCAGCCTTATGTTCCATAAGGATTATAAAGAAGGTCCCCGATCTGGCAGAAAATTTCATTAATCCTGTTGCAGCTTTACTTAAAGAAAAGCACCATGGTGTATTGATCACAGGAGTTCAACTTTGTACAGATCTCTGTAAAGTCAGTCCCGAGGCCCTGGAATATTTTAGAAAGGTAAATTGTTCTAACTTATTCCGTGTTTCGCTGACAGATAAGCAGTCTATTAATTCATGCTCAGCTTTTGGGGAGGGGTTGATGTTGTCTCTTTAGTCTCATGTGTATCAGCTATTGTTTGCTAATATTCTTCTTGGCCAAGTCATTAGACTTTTTTGTTTTTCTTTTTGCTGCTACCTTTACTATATTTTTCATGTGCAAGTAGCCTATCGCAGCCCTTCTGATGCAAATAATTGAATTGTTAGCATTAAAATTGGATGATTGTGCTTTTTGCACCAGATTATGACAATATTTGCAATAATTGTTGTAGAAATGCACGGATGGTTTGGTCAGGACTTTACGAGATCTGGTCAACAGCCCATATGCACCAGAGTATGACATTGCTGGAATCACCGACCCCTTTCTTCATATTAGACTTCTCAAGCTCTTGCGCGTGCTAGGCCGAGGAGATGCTGATGCTAGTGATTCTATGAATGATATACTTGCTCAGGTTCTGCATTACTGTTTCTACTATATTTCCCCATATTTTGCTCTTTCTTTTATGTGGGCCTAAATAGTCATTATCTGGTATTTGAGGTTTAACTCTACCATTTCATCCTAAAGAGATTTTTGTCTTTGGTGAATGTGTACTGATATCTATTCTGTACTCTCTTCATAAAATGTTTTCCAGGTGGCAACAAAGACCGAATCAAACAAAAATGCAGGAAATGCTATTTTGTACGAATGTGTTGAAACCATCATGAGCATTGAAGACAATGGTGGCTTGCGAGTGCTTGCTATTAATATCCTAGGAAGGTTTTTGTCAAATCGTGACAACAATATCAGGTACATTGACAGATTTGATATAGACCATTTCTAACTCCCTTTGTCCCTCAAATACTAAGAAAATGCCACCTTTGCCTGATACTATTTTTTCATAGCCGCTCCTTGTACATGGTTTGAACGTACTGGTTTGTTATAGGATCTGACAGCCTTTTTTAATCAATATTAAGTACCGTTAAATTGCAAACTGAGATTGCTATATTGGATCGTAAAATTCTTTCTAAACACATATATTCCTTTTCATGTGTTTGGTCAAGCATTCTGCAAATAAAATTTGTTTCTCTGGATACACTTATGCGTTTTAGCTTTTCAAAAAGAAGTAAGAATCTGCTTTTCTCTTTTTTGTGTAAGGGGTGTCAAAAATTACTATTGAGATATTTTTTTAATTGCTGATATTGCCTCTGCTCGGATTCCTGATGGGTTGGATGTCTCCATCCATCCATTAGGCCATTACCATTATGCCAACTCCTTGGGGCTAGTACAGCTAGACCTTTTCGATCACCTTTAATGCAAAATTAATGGCTTCCACCTGTGTTAATGGGCGGATTCTGAAATCCAACATCTCAAACTCCCTCTGAGTTGCACTTGGTGTAAGTTGAGATATTAACCATTCCACGTTTGGGACTACTGCTGAAGATTGTCTTGTGATCTCTCAACGGGGATTAGGAGGCAAAATGTTGACTTTTGTTATGCTAAATGGTAGATTTTGTACTTGTGCTCAAGCATCTGCTTTGGAGTTCTGTAGGCATATTTCTTTTGCTGCTGCTATTTGAAACCTGAAATATTCTATTGAAGTCTACATTTGTTTTTCCAGATATGTTGCTTTAAACATGCTGATGAGGGCTATTACTGTAGATGCTCAAGCAGTGCAGAGGCATCGTGCAACAATATTGGAGTGTGTAAAGGTATATATAAGATTTCCAAGGTCTTTCTTGAATACATTAGACACTGTTTCTTTCATATTACTAATAACCTAGCTACTCATCTCGACCCCATTAGTTTTTAAAAGTAGATTTGTTCTGATGACAATGAAAATTTTCAATGTACTAATATTGTTAGGATCTTTTAGTTCTGTCTCCGCTGGGCAATGAGCCATTTATATAAAAAGCTCAGTTTGTTAATTGTTCTTCCTCTTCAGGATTCAGATGCATCAATTAGGAAAAGAGCCCTTGAACTTGTTTACCTCCTGGTCAATGAGAGCAATGTCAAACCTTTAACTAAAGAATTAGTTGACTACTTGGAAGTTAGTGATCAAGATTTTAAAGGAGATCTGACTGCCAAAGTTTGCTCCATTATTGAAAAGTAAGTTATCAATGCAGTTACTTTCTTGGTCTTTTTTTTTTTGGTATATGCTCAAGCACATTATTACCTCCTATGATAATTTTTTGTTGTTAATGTTGTCTAATTAGAATGTGGTATTCACTCTACAATTAAATCTGATTGTTAAATTCCTAAATGTCTGTAACAGTAAAATTTAGTCCATGTGCGCACTTTTTGTTGATGATTCTATGTTAATCGGATATTTTGGAATCCTTTGCCGTATGAAAGATTTGCTGTGGTAAATGGAATTTACGTAGTTGATTTTGTCTTGGAAACTTATCCAGTTCTGTGATTTGTGTTTCACTTTTTTATTATATTTAGGTTTTCTCCAGAGAAAAGTTGGTATATTGATCAGATGCTCAAGGTTCTCACAGAGGTAAGATGTAGCAATGTTTTTATGAAGAAATTACAGTAGAGTTGTCTTCAGTTAAACATAAATAGGCAAAAAAACATATGAATTTACTAGGGTCTTTGTCCAATCATTTGCCTTTTTTGTTTGTTGCCATTGTTCTTATATATTTTATTATTTTGGGATTGTATATCTTTTCTGTTACAGGCTGGGAACTTTGTAAAAGATGAAGTTTGGCATGCCCTGGTTGTTGTGATCAGCAATGCTTCGGACCTCCATGGATATACAGTGAGAGCATTGTTCAGAGCATTGCAGACTACTGCAGAACAGGTATTGAACTGTGTCTGACGATTGAGAGCTCTCTTAATATTTACATGTAGTTATGTATTCCTACAAGCATTCTCCTAAGATTAGTCACTATAGGTGTGTGCCTAGGGCTGAAAGCGTTTGCCTTTAACGGATCCGCAACGCGCTTCACTTTTGTGCCTGCTCATTTCTCCTCTTGCTTAATTATTCCTTGTGATGGATCTATTTTCGCGTTCTTCTTAACTATAGTGGCGAATGAGGAAAGGTGGTTAAACATTCCAAACCATAAAAAAACCCATAGATTGTGTATTATTGGGAAAGGAGAAATAAAGGGTTTGATTCAACTGGCACGAGATCCATAGTTGACCACAAAAATCAGTTGGATAAAGTGAAATGTGTTCAATTGGAGTTCTTTGGATCATAGACTTCTAACTTTTTGAGTATGAGGAACTTGTTAAAATAGAAGGCTGACTAGCTGAGCTACAACTTTGTGACTTCCTAATGTTAATGAAGTAAATGAATTTGTAGTTGTTATGAAATGACTGAAGCATTCTGCTGGATTTTTTAATCTTGGAGAAGAGAGGTATAATTGGCAATAAAATAAAAGCTAAGAAGATAAAGAGACATAAGTTCCACACCAATCAATATGGATGTCAAAGGTAGAAGTTGATACATATATATGTTCAATTGAATACATACTCCCCTAAAGTGACAGGGGAAGTTGATCATTGGGTGATGTTATTAGTGGTGCCTACCCATTGAACCAAACTCAGCTGAAAAGTCCCATAAAATTCTAGTTAAGTTGACAAACAGAATTGTATGGTGAGGTGGTGCAGTATATGATCGATAAACTTAAAAATAGTATCATGATCATAGCCTAATTTCATTAACTTATTGATCTGTTTTCCTTCCCCCCCTGTAAACTGGAAGCCCTTCATGTTAGAGATGTGCGGCCTTTCTCCATTAACAATGCTAGTTGCACAAGTCACTTTGTGTTGATATAAGGTAGCTAATGCATGTTACATTGTTACTATTAGTGTTGTTGGGGCACAAATCTTAAGGCAAGGCACATGCCTCAAGACACAATGCCCTTGTTTATATTACAAGTAATTGAATAACATATTTAATGAAAAACCTTCTAACATGTAATTAGGTTAGGACAATATGCTTTTAGTTCTTGCTCATTCCAATAATTTAACTTACATGGTTATTTTTGTCTGCCGTAATTAGCCAATCTCTGAAGTTCCTGTATTCTTTACAAAACCAAGATCATGATTTTTGTAGGTTTGCAATGTCTTGCACTTGTCTTTATTGGTCATTCTAGATAAGAGGGAAAGTGATACTATAGATCCATCACATTAAAAGTGAAAAAGAAAAGGAAGTGCATGGCTTATGGAACCTAGCTTAAGGCCATCAATGGCACAAACCATGGGTTTGAAACGTTCTTTACTGTGTTCCTATGTGTACTTCCTCTTCCCTGACAAAAGCATAGCTTTTGTTTCACTGTCCCTCTGTGTTAAGATAAAATATTTCAACTCTTTTTTATCAGGAGAGTCTTGTTCGAGTGGCAGTTTGGTGCATAGGGGAATACGGGGACTTGTTGGTGAGTAATGCTGGAATGCTTAATGTGGAAGACCCTATAACAGTGAGTATATTGCTTGTGCTTCAGGTTGCATTACCTGTCCATTTGGCATAGTGGTTGTGATCAATGTTCCTTCTCTAAGCAGGTAACTGAGTCTGATGCTGTTGATATTGTTGAGAGCGCAATAAAGCGCCATGCCTCTGATCTGACCACTAAATCGATGGCATTGATTGCACTATTGAAGCTATCCTCACGTTTTCCATCTTGTTCAAGGTAATTTTCTCATATTACTTTTTGTAATTCTAGCCCCTCACTGTATTCCGTTATCTATCGACTCAACCTCTAAGTTGTGTTTGCTTGAAATGAAGTTGCTTAAAGTTGTTAAAGACTTCTAGTCATGTTATGACTTATGATAGTTGCTGATACAACATCTATTAGGGGTTTAATGCATCTCATCTGAAGGTACAGGCTGCTGCTCAAAGTTTTTGTTCTTTGCTTTGCAGGAGGATCAAGGACATAGTTGTGCAACACAAAGGAAGTCTAGTGCTTGAACTGCAGCAAAGGTCGCTTGAATTCAACTCCATAATTGAGAAGCACCAGAATATTAGGTGTGCTATTATAATTTCGCCTGATCCATGTTTAGATTTAATTTATATGCTTTCATTGCGATATCTTCCCAGGGTAATGAACTGATCATTGATTTTGCAGATCTGCCCTGGTTGAACGGATGCCAGTGTTGGATGAAGCTACCTTTGGTGGAAGAAGAGCTAGTTCTTTGCCAAATACTGTTTCAACTTCCAGTGGCACTGCAGTGAAACTTCCAAATGGAGTTGCTAAGCCCTCTGCAGCTCCTCTTGTAGATTTGCTTGATCTTTCTGATGATGTACCTGCTCCTAGCTCTTCTGGGGGTGATTTTCTTCAGGATCTACTTGGTGTTAATTTACCACCTGCCACACAATCAGGTCAGTGTGATATCCACTGTGGTTTAACCTGTTGCATTCGTATTTGAAATGGTAGGTAACCATGTGTTTCCCCCATAACCACGAGGCTCATTCCAGATTGGCAGTCACTTTTTTAATCTCTTCTCAGCTTGATTTGGCAACCTCTACTGCCAGCGCTACACTTGTGTTCCATTTTTTTCACAATATCCTATATTTTTCTGGATTTTTCATTAGAATTGGACATCTTAAGTTGCCAATTTAGTTAGGCATTGTCATCTGCTATGCCTTGTCTTGGGTCCTTTACACTTGCTATAGGTTGAAGAGTTTACGAGTTCTCATTATGAGCTGCTATAGTCTTGATATGCTGTAATTTTTTTATTGTCTTCTGAAGGTACAAATCAAACGCCAAAGGCTGGAACAGATGTTCTATTAGATCTGTTATCTATCGGATCAACTCCTGCACAAGACAACAACTTATCCACACCCGACATCTTGTCTTCTGGACAAGATAATAAACCCATAATTGCCTCGTTGGATGTGCTCGCGGCACCTTCCCTTACTCATACCACTTCCTCTACAGCTTCCAATATGATGGATTTGTTGGATGGCTTAGGTCCAGCTCCACCAAAGCCTGGTAAAGAGTCTAGTCGCCTTATAGTTATCATCTCGTTGTGTCCTTTCCGCTTTTGAGACCACTCATTACTGTTATTTCTGAACAGCGGAGAACGGTCCAGCTTATCCATCCATAGTTGCATTCGAGAGCAGCTCATTGCGGCTAACCTTCAACTTCTCAAAGCAACCTGGGAACCCTCAGACGACAATGATTTCTGGCTCTTTCACAAACTTGTCATCTAATTTGTTCACAGACTTTGTTTTCCAGGCTGCAGTTCCAAAGGTAAATGCCCTTCCGAGGCCTTTATATCTCTTCTCTTTCAGTTTTGTTGCCTTGCTGAACCCAAATTTGTACAGTTTCTGCAACTTCACTTAGATCCAGCTAGCGGTAACAGCCTACCTGCTAGCGGTAATGGGACGATCACACAGAGTTTGAAAGTCACAAACAGCCAACACGGGAAGGTATGGCCCATGCAGACCCTGAACCACAGACCACCTGTGATTTTCCTCGTTGCTTCTCATGGCTTCCGGTCTTGATTAAGTTGCTGAAATGAGATTTTCAGATGTCATAACACCAATTTGTTTTCTGTATTGATTCCAGAAACCACTTGTGATGCGCTTAAGGATAGCGTACAAGGTCGACGGCAAGGATGTGTTGGAGGAAGGACAAATCAACAACTTCCCTCGCGATTTGTGAAGAAACCTACTCCCAGCAGCATCATTTGCATGTATGAGTTCTTCCTGTTTTGTCTTTGCTTTAGCCCCCACCCGGCTCCCACCGAGAACCTGCTCTTTACTTCTTCTGTAGGCGTAGCTTTAAGATAAATCTTTGGTGTCCATGATTGTAATTTGAAGTTGAGAAAGGAGAGCATGTTGTGTGGGTCTTTGGGTGCCAGAATTATATTTTTTTGCTCAGAGAGTTTGAGAGAGATATATGCATATATATGTTGTCAAAAAATCAAAATGAATCACTTCTTTCACAGTTCTGGTTCTTCACTCCCCCATTTTGAGGTTCACTCTTTTCTCTTTGAATCCCTTTTTTTGGGTCTTGATAGGCTGTGTACAATAGTAAAGAAAATACTTGCTGTAAGGAATCGTGAGATTTGGATTTTTTCCTCTCCTTTTTGGCGGTTTGAGGCTCATATTGAAGGGAAACATTAGTGTCATTTACTGTGAACTCTCTGAGAGGATATGTCTCTAGTCTCTCCCTACTTTTCGTTCATCCTTTTGTCTCTTGAGTGGGTTGTTTAAACTTTTCGAAGTGCGTTATCCATCATCGAATCGACATATAATTCATGCCCGTTCCAGAACGGGTAATGATCAGTAATATTAGGGGTGGGAATCGGTAATACGGTAACCGGTTTACCGTTTTACCGAACCGGTAAAGGTCGGTAAACGGTAAACCGATTACCGTCGGTATCGGTATCCGGTGGCGACGGCGAAGATCCAATTTACCGGACACAGGGTCGGTATTTACCGTCGGTAAATCGGTAAATACCGAATTGGAAACGGCGGCGTTTTAGGGAATGAAACCCTAGCTGAAAGGCTGCGCGCCCCTGCCAAAACGCAAACGCCTCCTTCGCCCCTTCGCCCTCGCCGCTTCATCCCTTCGCCCTCGCCGCTTCGTGCCTTCGACCCTTCCCCTTCGCACGCAGAGTCGCCGACGGCGACGCAGAGCAGAAGACGCCGCCGCCTCTCTTCTCCAGTCCGCCTCTCCCGCCGCCTCTCCACTCCGCTTCTCCTTCACCCGACGCAGAGCAGAAGACGCCGCGCCGCCATTCCTCCTCCAGTTGCGGGCCGCCACCACTTGCCCTAATCCCCTGCATCCAAAGTTTCCAAACCCTCACATCACTCGAACAATCACTCACCAGTCCTAATCCCCTGCCTCTGTCGTCCTCCTCCCAGTCCCAACCCTCACATCACTCACCAAATCTCCATCTCTGCCCCCTCTCGATTTCCCCGGCAGAGACGGAAACGCATCCAATAATCGCCTCTGCCGTCCTCCTCCCAGTCCTAACAGCCAACGACCACCAACAGCCATCCGCCATTCCTCCTCCAGCCAACAGGCCATCCGCCATTCCTCCTCCAACGCAAACCAGCAACTCAACAAATTAGCTCGGGCGGTAATTCGGTAAACCGGTTTGTAACCGTTTACCGGTAATTCGGTAATCGGTAAACCGGTTACAAACCGGTATCGGTAAACGGTAACCAGTTTGCCCACCGTCGGTATACCGAAACCGGTAAATTCGGTAAACGGTTTACCGTTTACCGACCGATTCCCACCCCTAAGTAATATAGCCAGACAAATAGGCAGAAATTTACTCAAATGTCGGGAAAGAAATATAAGTTAATCTATAATAATATTTACAATAAACCACGATGTATTATTAAAATTTGAGAATTATATAAAACAAGATCATTGTATGCTTATTCTCAATTTCCTAAACTCGTGTGGAGTATGAGTATTTTCTAGGAGATTGTGCACAACCACCTTAACCACAAGAGGCGGGCCTGAGTTCAGGTCCTTAAGACCCCCTTCATTAAGGAGGATCTTAAAGTGTTGTGATTGGTTGATTTGGTTTTAGATAGTTAGTGAGGAGTTATTAGTTGTCAATGGTATATGTTGGGAATTATAAATAATATAAAAAAACTAATTTTCAAACCCACGTACCGTCGGTTTTTCTCCTTCCCAGCGGAACAGGTTCTCTGTTAACCCATCTCTTCGATAACAGTCTCTACTCATAACTGATGAATTTTTTTTCTGTAAATGAGAAAATAATAAATGATTGTGAAGATGAATCTACTCTTTCTACCTTCACTCTGGATGCAGGAAATTTGAAATGAGGGCTTCAAGTTTTCTCATTTATCTTTTATTTATTGGGTAGATATAGAGATGTAGATATATAAAGTGAACAACGATCTCAGTGAGAGATGTAATATCTGAATTTGACCGTGAAAATCGTCCGGAGAAAGTTTTTTGTCTTCTCCTCCGGTGATGATCTCACAGCTTGTGAATTTGGATAGAAGAAGAGAGCATGCTTACTCCCGCCATTAGTTTGTACGGTTCTTATTACTTATCCGACAAATTTATATTTCAGTGTACAAAAGCAAAAAAAAAAAGCACTAATTAGAATATTTGGGAATGAAGAACAGCCGAATGAATGAAAACAGAAGGGAGAAAGCAAAGCCTGTAAATTCCCACATCAGCCTTGAAAGTGACACACATTTTCTTAATCACTTTGTTACCCAAGTAATAAACCCAGTTCAAAAAACAATAAAAATCATCTAATGACATGATTTCAAACTACCTTACATCACTTTGTTTTTGGCTTTTCCCCTAGTTGGTGGGACGTACATATCTACTCCTTTTAATGGCAGATTGCCGGTGGTGGTGTTATGGTACTGGACAAAACCAAATTTAAGAGTTAAGACGGGCGGTGGGCTGTCTTAATCCTTCCTCTCCTACTCACCCTCACAGCCAAATTGACTACACTTTGCTCTTTCTACGGGAAAGAACGGACAAGAGTTAGAAGATAGTCCCTCCTCGCTTTAACCTAGCTCCGTCACTTGTTTCCAGTTCAAGTGCCAAACTTAGCTCGAGAGGCATATTAGAGAACTTAGTTTGAGATTTGATGTACTACACATCTCAAAAGTAAAATGACATGGGGTTTGTGTTGGAGGTCACATTGGCCACATATTGCCATATTGAATTGGGGAAAACATTCTATGATGATGTCTGTCACTAAGCAGGAGCGCCAAAGAGGAGACTTTTTAGAGGTGGCGGGCTAAAAGGGACAAAGGCAAAAGGGGCCCCTGATTTGATGTGTTTCACTTTCATCATTCGTCTGCAACAAAATCATGGCCACAAGAAGAAGACTCCCACAAACCGCTTTTCGTGTACCCAACAATCAATCAATCAATCAAACCTTCTTCCATTAGGATTAGAACCCTAACAAGTTGTTGTGTGTTTAGTGTTTCACATATCAATATCAACCAACAAAGGAAGAAAAAACTCCGCCACCAGATGATGGATGGATGCTACACGTGATTCTGACTCCACACACTTATCTTCATTCATGCGTGTACTGGCAAAAAGCTGATATTAGATACCTAAATGAAGCATCTCATCTAACTTCCTGTCCTTTATTTTTTGGGTTCCTGCTTTTCTGAGCATCTCCTCTCATCTAAGGAATTGCAGTTTCCTTGCTGATTAATTTCTGTGTTAAAAAGGCTTCACTTTCACTTGATCAAAGGGAGGGGCCCTGAAGTTCCAGTGGTAAGAAAGCAAAGCATCTCTTTCAGGCTTGGACAAAAAGCGTGGAGAGGGGAAACAGTAGTAAGTTGCCAATTGCTCCCAAAGTGCAACAAAAGAAGGAAAGTGCAACAGTAAAGAGTACCATCGTCTGTAAGGAAGAAAAGAAAAAGGAGGTGGAAAGACAAACAAAGGAAGCCTCAAGCCTCTTCTTTTGACTCTAGTAAATAGTAATACCTAAGCTAGCAAGAGGAATGTAAGATCAATAAGGATCAATTGATGTATAACAATACTGTAAGAAGAAACAGTACAGATAAGAGTACTATTACACCTTCTATGTACCCAGATGTTGGGCTCTACGTTCATCCCATGGCAACAAACCAACACTAACTGGAACAGTAGCAGCAGCAGCAGAAGAAGAAATGTTCATCTGGGTCTCACATGAACTTGGCAATTTACCCTTCCTGGACCACTGCCATATCTTTGACACAGAAAAGCTTTCACCTTTACTCCGACTGTTGATCCTTTTCCCATCAGCATCCCCATCTACACAACAAGGATTCGTTTCAATTTGTCCATTTCTCCCTTTCACCATATTTTTTGTGGCACCTCTTCTGCTGCTGCTGCTGCTGCTATTATCGTTGTTGTTACTAGGGCTTAGGGTGACCTGCAACTCCAAATCAGCCACCACATACTGATATGAACCCATCGAGAAACACCTCCTCGCATCCAAATTACTGCTACTGGTCTCTCCAGCCGGCCGTCTCTCCACTGCTGCCTCTTCATTATTCGAGCTCCTAAACTTGCCGAGTCTCACGGAGAATACCCTCTTTGAATTCATAATGCTGGCATTCTCCCCTGGCTTTTTCCCTCCTGTATTTGTAACACTCACCAATATCCCACTTCCTTCTGCATTGCTTTGAACCTCTTCATCCCTCAGTAATTGTGCTTCCATATCAAAAACTGGGTTCTCAAAAGAAAGCCCGGCTGAATAAAGGCTGCCTCTACAAAGAGGGCAAGTCGAATTTGAAAGCAACCATGTGTCTATACAGTCTATATGGAAGGCATGGCTACACATGGGAAGCAATCTCAACTTGTCTTTCTCAGAAAATTCACAAAGACAAACGGGGCAATCAAACGGCTCCTTTAGACCCATAATGTCTTTGTAAGGAAACACAGGCAGGGCATCAATAAAAGCTTGATCTAGACCAGAATCATGGAGATGGAAGAGCTGCTGTAACTGTCTTTGAAACGCATCACTCCCAGAGACATCCCGCTGCGGGTTGGAGTCGGACATCGAAGCCGAACCTCTCTGCTTCATGAGAAATCTGACGAGTAAATGGAGAAGACCAGAAATGAAGAACACGACTGCTAGAATTACAATGACGAACAGTATAGCTGGGCTTATTTTTCCGCCCGAGGAAGACTGTTTCTGGCTGTAATCACCATCGTAAGGCGACGAAGAACCAGAAGAGGAAGAAGAAGTAGGAGATGGAGAAGAAGAAATCAACGATCGAGGATGGTGGGTTTCAAAAACAACCCAAGTTGACATCTTTCTTCATTCACTCTTCCAGCATCGCAGAAACTCTATTCCTGATTGTGGAGGAAAATTGTGAGCTTTGACTCTCACTCAGAGCTAAACAAAAAGTGAAGAAATTGCCTAATTTTTTTAAACTCCCCCCTCTGGCACCATGGCCCAAATGGGGCAACTCATTCAATCTTCCAGAACTCTACCTACCCACAACAGAACAGCAGGCACACTCTCACCTAAGAATAGCTGCCATTAATGGAGACCTTCATTTATTTATTTATTCATAGAGAAGATGCCCAAGAAACGAAACCCTAATAAGAAGAGTACAGCTATAGAAGAACCTGGAGGAAGCAGGTTTTTTTTAAGTTTCTTTCTGTTTTATCTGTTTCACTGTTTAATTTGGGGTTGGGGGAAGAACTGCCAAAGGGAGAGATCAGAGAAGAATAGATATACTGTGAGTACTGAGCACAAAAGTAATTTCAGGAGGCCCATCAATGGTGTTATTCACTCATTCTTACGTTCCGGGTCGGATGACCAAAAGGGAAGTTTAGCCCACTAGTTCGTTCTGGGCCGGATTCTCTTGAAATAGATACTCGGAAGAAGGCCCAATTGGGAGGTGTTTTTTTTTTTTTTTTATAGGGATGTTGGATTGCACTTCGAATGATCGGTTACAAAGATGTAAACAAGAACCCTAGATTAAAAACAAGATCAAGGCAGGTCTCCTCCTGTCTCTCGTTTAGCGAGAGTTGAAAGCGGCGGAAACCCTAGGGTTTTCCGATTCTATTAGGCTTTCTTGAGTCTATTCCGGAGTTGGATTCCTCGTAGATCAAGGAAATACTAGGTTAAGAAGGACTGATATTCTCACGAAGGAGAACGAGATCTATTAATAGCTGTGACAAGCACAAAGAGCTGCGTACAACCTTTCGCTGGGTGGAATCTAGATTCTTAGCTAGTTCCATCAGCTGAAAGAAAGCGTTTTACAAGTGAATCACAATGGCGAGCAATGAAAAGGCAACGGATGATACTGCGACAAGCAAAGACAGAACTCATGAGCAAAACATAACGGTTGAGCTGGAGAAGCAACTGGACCAGATCAATCTTGAAGAGGACGATGAAGAACCATTGGAAGTTGAAGATTCTGATGTTGATGTCATAAGGATGGAACCTGTGCGTCGTTTGGGCCTGATAGGTCGCCTGGTCTCTGAAAAAGAACCAAACATAAAGTCAATGAAAATTGCTTTGTCAAAAGCGTGGAAACTACGTAAGGGTTTCCAAATCACAGAATTGGGCGATATGCTTTTTGCTTTTCAATTCCTGGAGATGGATGATAGGAATAAGGTGTGTTTCGGGGGCCCCTGGCACTACGAAAACAACCTAATCATCTTTATGGTAAGCGGACAAATTCAAAAGCCAAACCCAGAAGATTTGCATGTAGTTGATCTATGGGTTCGAATTGAAGGACTCCCAGCGGAGTTGAGAACTCAAAAAATGGCGGAGAAGATCGCGTCCAGGTTTGAGGGACTGGATTGGTTTGATAATGGGGCAGGTAACATGTGGGACGACTATATGCGTCTCAGAGTATACCTATCCATTAACAAACCACTGAAGAAGAAGATTAAGCTGAATATTCAGGGTAAGCTGATGGAATATCCAGTAAAATATGAGAAGCTCCCTCTATTTTGCTATTCGTGCGGGAGAATCGGGCATCCCAAACTCAGATGTAAGATGCAACCAAAACCAGAGGTTGATCCCTTCGGATACGAGTTGAGAGTGGCAGAACAGGGACAGAAGAATTGGTTATCTTATTCAGCTAAGAAAGAGAACGCGGAGGTGTGGGCGGCTCTACGAAAAAAGCTGGAGATGGAAAGCATTGGATCCAACTTGGATCATGATATGGTCCTGGAAGCAGAAGAGAACAAAATGATGGAAGATGACCCTAAGGAGCAGGGACAGAAAGAAGAGGATACGAATCCTAATAAAATGAAACAGCAATAGAACGACCTAGAACAGACTGAGGAGGGGGCTGCTGTGCCCCAACAACAACAAACTTTGAAGCCTAATCAGTGGATTCGGACAGAAAACAAAGCTGGTGTCAAGCAGAGTGGAGCTTTGACCAAATTTATGATGGGTAGTACAGCAGTTCTACAACGTGGAAGACATCCTGCTCGTGTTTGGAAAAGACAAGAGCAAACGATACCTAGGCCTACTAGAGGGGTACAGCTTACCCCACAGAAACATCAGGCAGGTCAACAACAGGCAGAAGAGGCAGATGGAGTTATGCCAGACAAAAAGTCAAAGAGACCTAAGGTGCTTGTGTTTCAAGAAAAAGAAGGCGAGGAGGCAGTAGTAAACAGTTCAAAAAGGGATGGCGATGTGGCGGATCCTGCCAAGACGCAGGACCGCCCAGCCCAATGATTTGCTTGAGTTATAATTGCCGAGGATTGGGGAATCCCTTGGCAATTAGAAAGGTGCGTTCTCTACTCCAGAGACAAAACCCCCAGGTGGCTTTTCTAATGGAAACTAAGAAACAGCACCATGAATGGAGGACTGTGTTACAAAAACTTGGCTGGAAGAATGGATTTGGCGTGGGTTCAGAAAGAAGGGCAGGTGGTTTACTTGTTATGTGGCAGGAGGATGTAAAAGTGGAGGTGAAAGGGTATTCGAACAACCATATCGACCTACTGGTGGAAGACCAAGGACAAGAGTGGAGGCTAACTGGCATTTATGGATGGCCAGAGCAGAAAAACAAAATTAAAACGTGCAATCTGCTGGAGAACTTACATGGTTTAACTGGTTTGTCATGGCTGGTTATGGGAGACTTCAACCTGATACAAAGCTATGAGGAGAAAAATGGGAAACATTTGGCAGTGGTGGAAGAAATGGAAGCTTTCAACCGAGCCCTAGGCTTCTGTGGTCTTGAAGACTTGGGGTACTACGGCAGAAAATACACATGGGATAATAACCACAAGGATGATACCTACCTAGAAGAAAGGCTGGACAGAATGGCGGCAAAAAATTCTTGGAAACATCTGTTTCCTAACGCCAGAGTTAACCACGTGCGAGGATGTGGGTCGGATCACAATCCCATAGTGCTACTTACAGAGTTGGAAGAGGAGGAGGAGATTACTTGGGGAAGAAACTTTCGGTTTGAGGCCTTCTGGCAACAACACCAAGACATCAAAGCTATAATAAAGGAAGGATGGGAGGAAGGCTCGCACCATAGCCTGCGGAACAAAATTGAAGCAGTGGAGTGAAGCTGTTTTTGGGAGTCAAAAGGCCAGAAAGAGGAAAATTTTGAAGGATCTTGATAAGATAGAGAGGCTGGCAATGACTACGAGTTTAGTCTCTCAACGCCAGGGACTAGAAAAAGAACTAGAGGAGATCCTAGAGGTGGAAGAAATCCGATGGAAGCAAAGATCCAGGTCAGATTGGCTCCGAGAAGGGGAGAAAAACACAAAATACTTCCATCGTCGAGCCTCAGAGAGAAGACAGAGAAACACAATCAAGAAATTGATAGGGGAGGGTGGCATTCAATTCAAAGGGCAAGAACAAGTAACAAGGTTCCTGGTGGATTTCTACAAAGCTCTATTCAGAACAGGAGGCAGGGCCTTGAGTAACACTGTTCTTGATGCAGTTCCTAGAAAGGTTTCGAGCGAGATGAATGAAGAATTATTGAAACCGTTTACGAGGGAGGAAATTTGGGAGGCTTTAAAGCAGATGGGCCCGCTCAAGGCCCCCGGGGCTGACGGGCTCCCAGCACTCTTCTTCCAGAAGAACTGGGATATCCTGGGTGATGACATAACTAGAGAGCTACAGGGGTTCTTAGAAGCTGGTACATTTCCACAGGCTCTAAACCACACCCTTTTGGCTCTCATACCGAAGAAAAAAGCCCCTAAGAGCCCTGTGGAGTTCAGACCTATCAGCCTGTGTAAGGTACTCTATAAGATCCTGTCTAAGGTGTTAGCTAATAGACTCAAATGGATTCTTGATGATATCATTGTGGAAAATCAGAGTGCGTTTGTTCCAGGAAGGCTAATTACAGATAATGTGATTATTGCTTTTGAATCATTTCACACGATGTCTCAGAAAAGACAGGGCAAGGCTGGTTATATGGCTGCCAAGTTGGATATCACAAAAGCGTATGATAGGGTGGAGTGGGACTTTTTGGAAGCAATAATGGAGAAACTAGGTTTTGAAAGGAGATGGATTGACCTAATTATGAGCTGTGTCTCGACAGTCTCTTTCTCAATTCTTGTTAATGGTCATCCATCGGAAGTTTTCTTTCCCTCTCGAGGCTTGAGACAGGGAGATCCTATTTCCCCTTATTTGTTCCTCCTAGTGGCTGAGGGACTTTCAGGTCTAATCACAAAAGCAGAAAGGGCGAAAACAGATAAGTGGGATCAAAGTGAAAAGAGGGGCGCCAGTGATTTCACACCTCCTCTTTGCTGATGACAGTATCCTATTCACGAAGGCCACCAAGCCAGAGTGCGAAAAGTTGAAACAAATCCTAACCCTCTATGAGGCGGAATCAGGACAGCAGGTGAACCTTGGGAAGTCGGAACTGTCTTTCAATCCAAACATAAAGGAGGAGACGAGGACTCAACTAGCAGCCATTCTGGGGATGAAAGTGGTGGAATCCCATGAGAAGTATTTAGGCCTTCCTACTAGAATTGGACGAGAAAAGAGAGCTGTTTTCAGCTACTTGGTGGACAGGGTTAGACAGAAAGTCAAACACTGGAAGAGTAAACTGCTTTCAGTGGGAGGCAAGGAAATTCTCATTAAATCTGTTGCTCAGGCTCAAATGACCTATGTTATGTCACTATTCCAGGTCCCTGTTGGAACTCTGAAAGAAATACAGAGCATCATTGCAAATTTCTGGTGGGGTCAACAAGAGGAGGAAGGGCGCACCCATTGGCTGAGGTGGGAGGAGTTATGTAAACCAAAAAAATTTGGAGGTCTGGGATTCAAAGATGCAGCTGGTTTTAATCAGGCCATGTTGGGCAAACAAATCTGGAGAATCATTTCAAGACCACACTCACTGGTTACAAGAGTACTTAAAGCAAAGTACTTCCCGAACAGGGATGTAATGGAGGCAGAAGTGGGGAGTAATTCAAGTTTCTTATGGAGAAGTCTGATGAGCTCGAGAAAATTAGTGGCTAAAGGCTACAGATGGAGGCTAGGGAATGGGAGTAGCATTGATATTTGGCTGGACAGATGGGTACCAGCAGCAAAAGGCTACAAAATTCAAACCCCTATGACTCCTATTGGTGACACAACTTCTGTGGCTGAACTTATCGACTTTGAGACAAATAGTTGGAACCTAGAGCTTATTCAGGAACACTTCCAGCTTGAGGATCAGAGGAACATTCTGAAGATTCCTATCCCTGCGGAACTAACCAGAGATGAACGGGTCTGGGGCTTTGAGAAAACTGGAGGATACACTGTGAAATCGGCCTACAAACTGTGGTTTAATCGAAATGAAGAGGAAATAGGGGAAATTTACTCCCCAGTCAACTGGGAGAGGCTTTGGAAGCTCAATCTTCCTCAGAAGATCAAGGTGTTTGCGTGGAAATGGGTGAGGAATATTCTTCCAACAGGAGCGAAGATTGTGTCTAGAATTGAAAAAGGAAACGAGGAATGCCCTTTCTGCGGGTTGTTGGAGACTCAAAGACATATTTTCCAAGACTGTGGTTGGGTTCAAAGGGTGTGGAGACCTAGCTCATTAACATCTATGTTCAAGAAGGGCCAGGGCGTTACCTCGGAGGAATGGATGTGCGAATTGCAGGAAACGGCCACAGATGAGATGCTGGAACGATTCTTGGTGGCACTGTGGTTTACCTGGGATCAGAGAAACTGTCAATTGTGGAACAAAACAAAAATGGAAGAATGGGAAATAATAGGGCGGGCTGAGAGATGGATTGAGGAATACCGAGAAGCCCAGCGAACTCGAGAAACCTCCACCGGAAAAAAGCAGGAGAAATGGAGCCCATCGCCTGAGGCAGAGCTCACCATAAACATCGATGCGGCATGCTTCGCGGATCTGGGGACGGGACTGGGAGCGATTGTCCGCAACAGAGCAGGAGAACTTCGACTGGCGGCTGTAAAGCGATCGAGCCGGCAATGGGATCCGGAGATGGCTGAAGCGATGGCGGCTGATTTTGCGGTGGAGCTGGCGAGACGCTTCCATTTCTCCGATGTGGAGATCCAGATGGATTGCATGACGGTGAAGCGTCTCATCAAGGGGGAGAGTGACACACAATTGGAGCTGGGCCGGCTGTGCAAAGAAATCAGAAGGAAAGCAAGTGAACTGGGCCTCTTTCGTTGGGAGCATGTGGAACGAAAATGGAATGAGACAGCCCACTTCTTAGCCCATTGGGATTGTGGTTGGGAGAGAGAGATCATTTGGGTTGATAGTCCACCAAACTCTCTAGCTTCTTTGATTTTGAAGGATATTTATGTACCCAATCCCATTTAATTAATATAAGCAGGTATTTTACTTCAAAAAAAAAAAAAAAACAAGATCAAGGCAGCACTGAAACACAAGATGAAATTAAACCATGCGTGGAAAATACAACAAGAGAAAACAAGACACAAAATGAAAACACACAACAAACGCTTATTGTTTGATTTGAGGATCTTGATTCGAAATTTTATCAATTTGTTAATATATTCATCGGTTGAGAACGTGTAAAGGAAATAACTAGCACGACCGGGGATTTTAACATATATAATTAAATGGATTGCATGGTTATACGAGTCGTTTGGAAGAGGAATTCTAACGAATAAATTTTACTCAATTGCTTCGTTTTGAGATAATGTGGTCAAATTTATCCGTCCGACAGAATAAAATTTGGATGAAGCAATAGACAGACAATTCAAATTAAATCCTTTTAAATGGCTTGTTTTGTAAAACAAGATAGTTTGCAAAATTATCTTATTTTTTAATTGATCCATCCAAACGATCACATAGTGAAATATGATGATAGAGTCAAATAACACTACACATATTATGATTTCATATGCTAAATGTGACACTTATAGGTTTCAAGAAGTTCGAACCTAACAACAATTTCTTTGTTTTTCTTATTAACCGACGGTTAATTAGATCATTCCAACTTCTTATTTTATTTTTTACCATTACATTCTCGGATAAAAAAAGTTAGTTAATTCTTTTGGAAAGAATGCGACCCATCAATGTGTATCTGTAGTAAAATTTTATTTTCAATTTCAATTTCACATCCACATGTGATAGTATGTCATATGAAAATGAAAGTCTTTGTTAATTGGAAATATATTGTTGAATTAATTCAGGAAACAGACTCGCAACCACAAGACTTTCATCATATTGAATAATTGACAAGTCAGAAGTTGACTTTGCATTTTCAGATTTTTTTTTTGTGAAATTCATTTTCAGACATTTCTTTTCCCACTAAACATCATAACAATAAAGATTAATGAACTGGATAAAATACGATTATTTTGACATTATTTTATTCAAATAAAATACAATTATTTTTAGTTAGAATCAAAAGTTGGTTGAATTTAAAAAGAAATAAAATTTGGATTCGAGAATAAATCATCGTCTCGATCTCGATCTCGATCATATAGTAAAGTCCGATTCACTCCAATTACGGTAAACATCGATTCGGGTCGTTTACGTCTGATGTGTATCATATCATATCTTTGCCCAACCCGTTGGAATTGAGCTGGGCAACCGCCGGACAAGAGTTTTTTAAGTTTTAACAGCCATTTAATCGCATTTACAGTAAAATGATTTCTAGACTACCTATACCTTTACTTGGTGAGCTTTGGGCTGAGGTAAAACTTGGGATCCTGAAGAACCTTTGTGATGGTCTCAGTCTTGTAAGAGGAAAGGTCGGAGTTAGGGATGGCAATTTCGACCTAACCCGTTTTACCTTATTTGTTTGACTTGTTTTGGGCGGGTCCGACCTGCCGCGTAGCCGGGGCGAGGCGGACATGGATACTCTCATAGACCCGACCTGCCCTGTCCCGCCCCATTCTGGACCCGTTCTTGCCTAAATTACACGTAATATTAGTCAAATTATTTAGAATTTTCCTTTTACTAAATCAAATTTTAGCTATAATAAAGTTGTAAATTAGTGAAAATTTCAATTTCTCCAATAATTTAACTATATTTATCATAATATTGTTTGTTTCAATGGTCTTATAATAAAAATAACGAACATTTCTAATATTTTTCATATTAATTGCTTACCCATTGGGTCGACCTGCCCCGACCCGTGACCCATGATACATTACCCGATCTGGACCCGACCTGCCACGGGACGGGTCCGGGTACCAAGAAACCCGCCCCGGAGTACTGTTCCTAGTCAGAGTACTGTTCTCCAAGATGCTTCGCTTTAGCAACGGCTTCAATCGAACCTACAGCCCAAAGCACAATATGTCTTATTAAGAAAAGGGCTTAATTGCAAGTTTGGTCACTCGAATTGCTACAAAATTTCACGTTTGCCACTCAAATTAATTTATTCCATTTATAGTCACTTAAATTAGGTTAACAGTCCAAGTTTGGTCACTGGCCGTTAGTCTCCGTTAACTTTTGCTGATGTGGCGGTCAACTCTTATAGTTGACCGTTAAATAAGTGACGTGTCGAATAAAAAATAATAAAATAATTTAATTTAATTATTTTTTATTTTCCACCTAATTATTATAAAAATAAAAAAAACCTAATTCCTTTTAATTGTTATTTTCCACCGCTGATGAGCTGCGTCGTCTTCGGCTCCTTCGTCGTCTGGTACCTCGCGACGTTCTCGATCTCCTGCTTCAAGGCTCGAACCCAGTACGGCCCGATCATCTCCGTCTGGTTCGGCTCCACCCTCAACGTCGTCGTCTCCAGCACCGCGCTCGCCAAGGTGGTCCTGAAGGAGCACGACCAGCAGCTAGCGGATCGGCACCGGAGCAGGTCGGCGGCCAAGTTCAGCCGAGACGGCCAGGATCTGATCTGGGCCGACTACTGCCCCCACTACGTCAAGGTGAGGAAGGTTTGCACTCTGGAGCTTTTCACCCCAAAGAGATTGGAAGGGCTGAGGCCGATTCGGGAGGATGAGGTCACCGCCATGGTTGAGTCCGTTTACCGCGACTGCTCCGATTCCGGTTCGTTAATCCTTAATCCTTACTTTCTTCAATTAGTATTTGACGAGAATTGAATTGAATATAATTGCTCCCCTGTATATGTGTTAGTTAGGTTAGGTGGATTTGTGGAATCTTATCCTGTGATTGATTAGAGATCAAGCAGATCTGGTGGTTTTATCACGACGAATTCGAACCTTTGAATCAATTTTTAGACCATTCTTTTCAATGGTGAGACAGTGGAGAGTGAAAAGAATTGGAATTTGCCGTTTCCTTATTTGGGGGGTTTCTTCAAGGCGCTGACCCTGATTCAGCTGGGTTCGAGCCAGGCCGCGGTGGTGGTGTTGCCGACGGTGACGACGGAGGAGGAGGAGGAGAAAGCCATGGTGGTGGTCGGAACGGCGACGGAGGAAACGACGGCGGATCGGAGTAGTCATAGTGTACAGGTGTAAGCATCAAATCATATATATGTAGAGAGGGAGAGTGGGGAAAGGAAGAATCTGTGGACAGCCAAATTCGAAGAGATAGAGACGAGGGAGAAGGGGGTAACTGCTGCTGGTTATGTGTGAATTGTGAATAACAATTAAAAGGAATTAGGTTTTTTTTTAAATTTTTATAATAATTAGGTGGAAAATAAAAAATAATTAAATTAAATTATTTTATTATTTTTTAATCGCCACGTCACTCATTTAACGGTCAACTATAAGAGTTGACCGCCACATCAGCAAGAGTTAACGGAGACTAACGGCCAGTGACCAAACTTGGACTGTTAACCTAATTTAAGTGACTATAAATGGAATAAATTAATTTGAGTGGCAAACGTGAAATTTTGTAGCAATTCGAGTGACCAAACTTGCAATTAAGCCTTAAGAAAAGAGAAAGGAAACCTTCCGCTGAAATAAATGGGCCTTTAAAAGCCCAGCTAGCAAGCACCGAATCAGATAAGCCCATTTTACAAAAATCCAGCAACCCGAGGTTTCGTTTCTTCTCCTCTATTCCACTTCCCGCCGGCGGTTCAAGGACAGACGAGAAGAGCGGCGTCGGGCTATTTATCGCTGCCTGCTCATTATCGCTGCCGCTCAGCTCTTCACGGCAGCTTTTGCAGACACTCGATCACTAAATTTTTATCTAGCCTCCGGGTAATGCTCTTCCCTTTATTATCTCCAACTGTTTCTGCTTAAGTACTGATTGAGTACTAATTAATAATTATATTGTTGCAAGCTTGAATTTGTACTAGAGTGTTTGTTAGTTTGCAACTCCTTTTTTCTGTGATGTGTGGAGATTTCATGCTGTGGCTAGTGAGAAGGGTTTCTGTGGTTGGCAAGCTGATGTAAGTGGTAAAAAAGCTGGTGGATCAAGTCCCGAATGGTGACCACTAGTATCATCAATTGTCAAAATCAAAAATCAAATCTTGAATGCTGCAGATATCTTCAATCTCGGCTGTTTGGAATTCTAGGTGCGATTAGTGAAGTTGAACTACTCATTGCGAGATTTTTGTGGTGATTTGATGATTGGTTTTTAGCTCTATGATTGCATGTTGGTCTATATGTGTGCTCGAGCGGAAAAGGTCGGTCCTTTACTGGTGATCATAAGATGTTTGAAGAACTCAGAACTTCCATCTGCTGCACATTTGGTTATTATGTTAATATGGAATTTCTTCAAGGTTCAAAGAAAATGATGCATGTTTGAAAGTCTCTTTTAACGATAACGAGACCGATTAGGGATGACACAAAACAACCAGTTTTAGGTCCCTGAACTCCATCATCTTCAGTTGCTCACTGGATTTTTCTGGTAGAAATGCTAAATTTTTTGGGTGGGGGATAAAAAAATGCAAGTAGCAAATTTGTCCAGCATATATGATTGTTGAGTCGACCATTAGGTTCTCTAACAAATTTGTCAGCATTTTGAAGCTACTGGACCTTAATGGTAAGTAGACTTGCTGAGGATTGGGAATTGCCCAGCTTTTTTTAATCAGCTGGACCTTAGTGGTAGGTAGGCTTGCTGAAACTAATTTTTCTTGAGTAAGGCTGATGAGTTATGATGTACTTTGGTGGAAGTTCTCATACATAGTCCTTTCAAAACCATGAAATTATGTTTTCATTTTGGTTGTGATAATGGTTGCTATTTCATGGATGGAATTTTATAGCAACTGGCGCTCATATAATCCCTCTCTCTCTCTCTCTCTCTCTCTCTCTCTCTCTCTCTCTCTCTCTCTCTCAATTCTGTTAGTTTGCTGATTGAAAATTTTCTTACGTGATTTAGTGTCAGAGTACCCTAAGTCTGCCCTAAGAATACTGTGATGTCTTCACTTTGGTATGCTGATATTTTCTGTTCGTATCTGTCGATACCAAGAGATTTCAAATGTCATTCATTCTGCATGAAGAGCACCCTGTAGGCTGATTCACTCATAACTGTTTTAATTCATGTCTCATATTTTTGCCTTCTTCCTTTATTCTTCTTCCCCTTTATGATACATGAAGTATGAGGACTTGTAGACTAGCTGCTTTTAAGTGTGATGAGAAGTAGTTTGAGCAATGGAGAGTAATTGTCTAATGTCTACTGTAGTTTCACTAGACTTCTTTTGCCATCCACCTTGTTTTGTAGATGTTATGATTTCCTGATGATGTTTCTATGTTTATTTGCCTCTTCTCCTCACTATGTCTTTATTTTTTCATGGTGTTCATTTAGGAAGGGTAGCTGGATGCTGGTTTCGCTCCTCTGGAAATTGCACTCCGCTTCACGCCGGCGCGCTTTCTCATCGCTTCCCTTCGCCCGAATCGCCATGGCTACTCCCGGGGGGCATCCTAAAGATGAAGTGTACCTTGGTGCAGTGATTCCCAAGCGCATCCAGCTCTTCCAGGCGATCCAGTCGCAGCAGAAGTCCCATCTCGATTCCCTCCCTCATGACCCTATCAGGTAAAGATAGCGGGGTGGAAAGTTGAAGAGCGTTAGGTTTTGTTTGCTTTTCTTTTGTTTGTGGTACTGAGTTTGACCCTAGTTCTGGATATTTCTACTTGTTAGAGTTACTTTGCCGGATGGGACAGTGAAGGAAGGTAAGAGATGGTCATCGAGTCCGCTGGACATTGCAAAGGAGATTTCCAAGAGTTTGGCATCTAATGCGTTGATCTCTCAAGTTAATGGAGTGTTGTGGGATATGAAGAGGCCATTGGAAGGCGATTGCGAGTTGAAATTGTTTACTTTCGATAGCGATGAAGGGCGTGATACTTTTTGGCACTCTAGCGCTCACATTCTTGGCGAGGTTAGTTGATTACTTAATTATCTTAGACTGACAATGTTTGCTTTTTTTTTTTTTGACAAGACAATGTTTGCTTTAGATGGGTGGATTTGGCATATAAATTTTCTACAATCAGTATTGAGGTTGTTCTGTTTAAATGCACTTCCTTATCTGGAGAAGTTTTAGTTGAATTCTACTAGTTGTAACCGAATGACTTCACCATTCCGATATGTATTCATCCCGTGGAAGTGCAGCCTCTAGTTAGGCAAGGTGTATAACTGTTCATATAATATTTCAACTGTCCACTACAAGAAATGAAGATGAGAGTGTCTTGTTAAATGGGCAACTCCAGAGCTGGTTATAGTCAATACATAGATTCCTCAATACTGGACATGGATACCAATCCCTTCAATTTTCTTTTGAAGATAAATGCCAAGCACGATTAGAAAGTGTGCTAAACAAAATAAGTTTAGTAAGTGTCCCACTTAAGTCTCGAAGAGAACAATGACAAATGTATATATCCATTGTGGAAACACCCTGGCTACTACTAGATAGCTTGGTAAGATAGAAAGCATACTGGGTAATGGTGGTATGAGTATTGCCAGGGTTCAGAATTTTCATCGTTCTGTAATTCTATGTCCATGTCTCTCTTTATGTGACAGCTTAGGGCCCCAAGGTATAGAGTATAGATGGCAAATTTTGGTTTTCTTGTTACCTGACGTTTTTCTTGATTTTGGCAGTCACTGGAACAAACATATGGTTGCAAGCTTTGCATTGGACCTTGCACCACCAGAGGGGAGGTATGCTCTAGTCTAACGTAGTTCCCTCTGTACCATACCGTTTCTTTCAATAATCTCTCTCTCTCTCTCTCTCTCTCTCTCTCTCTCTCTCTCTCTCCCTCCCTCCCACTCCTCTCTACCCTGTGAGTCTGTTTATGTGGCTTTGATTCGAGCTGTGTCACCTTCCGGATGCTTGTACCATGGGGCTGTAGGGATTCTACTATGATGCGTTCTATGGGGAATTAGGTTTAAATGATGAACACTTCAAGCAAATTGAAGCTGCAGCCTCAAAAGCTGTCAAGGTACTCCCCTAATTCTATTTGCGTAGTTGCTATCTAATCTCTTGGTTTAGCTGCTTCATTACATTTATCCAACGATGCTCCTATTTGTCTAGACCAGTTAGCTCTCTCAAATTTCTTTTATTGTGCTGAAACTACCTGTTCGACATGTTTCTTCTAAAACTTGATTTACAATATTCTTGTTCTGTCCCCTTGACAAACACTCTGTCAGATCTTGAATCAGTTATGCCAATCCTCTTTTCACATTTGTACTTGTATATTGATTATCATTCACTGAAAGTTGCTCAAGTGCCTGATGTCCATTTCTTTCTAGGAAGGACAAGATTTTGAGCGCATTGAAGTTACCAGGGATGAGGCCCTTGAGATTTTCTCTGATAACAACTTTAAGGTAATTTGACAATGGTGGTTAAGGTTTTGCTCACCATGGGACTGTTCATGTGTTTGCTTATTCGGTTTTTTGGTTGTCTTAAAATAATCAGGTTGAAATCATAAACGACCTGCCTTCAGACAAAACTATTACTGTGTACAGATGTGGTCCGCTGGTGGATCTGTGCCGTGGTCCCCATATCCCAAACACATCCTTTGTAAAGGCATTTGCATGCTTGAAGGTGACTTCTTAACTACATGCTCTGCCGATGAGGCTGACTGTGATGCATTCTCCTGTTACCTATATAGCTGTGTTCCTGATCTGCTTAACAGGGAGTTGGTTTTAATATTTGGAATTTTGCAGGCTTCTTCTGCCTACTGGAGGGGGAACAAAGACCGTGAAAGTTTGCAGAGGGTCTATGGAATATCATACCCTGACCAGAAGCGTCTGAAGGTCCCCCTCCCCCCCCCCCCCCCCCCCCCCCTCTCTCTCTTCCTTTTGACTTCTGTTAATGGGTATTTGGTGCCATTGCATCATTGTGCTATGTCTTGTTGGGTTAACAAGTATTCTTCTTCCTGAATGCCATCTTTTTCTTCCTTTCTTCTGTTAATGGGTATGTTGTGCCATTGCATCATTGTACAATGTCCTGTTGGTTGGGTTTAACAAGTATTCTAATTCCTGAATGGCATCTTTTCTGGCAGGAGTATCTTAAAAACCTGGAAGAAGCAAAGAAGTATGACCACAGATTGTTGGGGACAAAGCAGGAACTTTTCTTTTGTCATCCATTGAGGTAGAGCACAGTTCTCCCTAATATGGATTTAATTTCTTCGATCATAGTAAAATGACATTGTTTCATGTTCGGTGGTTTCTCAGCCCTGGAAGTTGGTTCTTCCTTCCTCATGGGACACGGATTTACAACAAGCTAATGGGGTTCATAAAATCTCAATATATCCAGAGGGGTTATGAGGAGGTATGCTGCTTAGTTAGCGCATGTTCAAGTAAGCTCACATTGACAAATACTCGGTCTAATTCATTAAAATTCGCAGGTCAAAACCCCAAATATGTATAACATGAAACTCTGGGAGACATCTGGGCATGCTGCAAATTACAGGGATAACATGTTTCTGCTTAATGTGAGTACATTAGCAACTCAACTCTTATTTGATAGCACTTTTCAGATTGATATGGCTTTCTCAGTGTTAGTCTAGGCTCTTGTGAAGAGGCATTATGTTCTTCTCTGGGTGGGGGGGGGGGGGGGGGGGGGGGGTTAAGATAGAATGGTGTGTCACTCTTAATATATTTCAAACTGTAGTGTTGTTTATCTAGGAGTTCATTTGGGTGTTGTGTAAAGTTGTGCTTTGACTGATTCCAATGTGATTTGCCAAAAAAGGGAAAGGAGAATAAACTGTTTTTTCTGTGTGGATATTGCTTTGCTTCATACTTCAATGCAATTAGTCATACCATACTTCTTAAAGATATTAACTTCCAGTTGATAATTTCTGTTGTTGCAGATTGAAAAGCAAGAATTTGGGCTGAAACCAATGAATTGTCCTGGGCATTGTTTGATGTTCCAGTATAGAGTTCGCTCTTACAGAGGTGACTTTGGTTTCATCTGTTGCCATTCCATCATAGAGTCTTCTTCAATGAATCTTCAATATGTAGTCTGTTGCCTGGGACAAAGATTTTGACATTCTTGCTTTATACTTTGTCCTTTGGGTTCTCATTTTAACTCCTTTGATTTATTCTGGTTTTGCAGAACTTCCTATTCGTATGGCAGATTTTGGTGCCCTGCATCGCAACGAGGCTAGTGGTGCACTCACAGGGTTAACTCGCGTTCGTAGGTTTCAGCAGGTGGTTATAAGCAATGTTTTTACTGTTTGACATAAGGGTTTGGCACTACGTGTTTCATTTTCAGTCAAGAAGATGGGTGCCTACAGTGAGATATAGCTGCCTGTTATTACTAGTGCATTAGATTTTGATTTAACAGATTTAGAAGTTCATATCCGGTTCGAACTCCTGTATGTTATTGTTGATGTATTGTCAGTTGTCGATGAACTGTCTAGTTCTTACGCCTGTCTAGTCTGATGAATATTTCTTTGTTTCGCATTTCTCTTATGTATATACGTCTTATCTAGTCTAGTTCTTACGCCTGTCTAGTCTGATGAATATTTGTTTGTTTCTCATTTCTCTTATGCATATACGTCTTATTTTATTTTTGGTGTTGAAGCCAAACATTTCTTTTCTGTACAGGATGATGCTCATATCTTCTGCAGAGAGGACCAGGTGATATTTCTAATCTTATGCCCAACAGTTCTGTTTACATAATGAAGTACTTATAGGTGAGAAGATTTGCTGAAAGATACATTCTCATTTTTTTCCACAGATAAAAGACGAAGTGAGAGGTGTCTTGGACTTCATTGATTATGCATATAAAATATTTGGATTCACTTATGAGCTGAAGCTCTCTACGGTATGATGTTTCTTTTTGATTATTCAAAATCGCTTTCTGATGGGACCTTCATAATCTAAGGAGATATTTTGCTCAAATTTTGGGAAGATAGCAAAGTTCTAGCTCTATCATGAATGTGGTTCAGTATTCATTGCTGGGCATACTTGGGGCTGATCTCATTTACGTGTTTCTTAGTTGAGATACAATGAGTTTAATAAAGTGCACTTTAGATTTAATGCTGCTTTATATGCAGTATGTGATGAGAGATCAAGATTATTCTATATGCATGTTCAGGGCCATATGCTCGTTTTGATTCCTATGAAATATCCGGCACTCTGTCCTATCTACCATTTTGCAAGTTTATATTCTTTATTATGATTGCTATTGCTTTTCAGTGGATGTGGATTGGTTGAATGCGTTCCCTGAGCATCTAATATTTTCTACTCATCAGATGCCTGTAAGGGGTTGAAGGGGTGACTCCTTATGTTGTAATTTTATCTATATGCCAGAGGCCGGAGCAATATCTAGGGGAGGTGGAAACATGGGATAAAGCTGAGGCTGCTCTGACGGAAGCATTGAATGAATTTGGGAAGGCGTGGCAGGTTTGTGCTTTTCTTCACGTTAGGGGATATTCTGATGTTATTTGGTGCTTGTTATATTGTTGCGCAACTCCACAGGCCAAAGAAGAGATCTCAAATGGTCTCTTGAATCCTAATGCATACATTCTTGTATTTACAGATAAATGAAGGGGATGGTGCTTTTTATGGTCCTAAGATAGATATCAGTGTATCTGATGCATTGAACAGGAAATTCCAGTGTGCCACATTGCAGGTTGAGATGATTTTCCTCTGCTGTTTTGATTTCTTTGCTTCAGAGGTGCATTGCTGCATTTAGTCTCATGATTGGTTATGGATGTCGGTTGCAGCTTGACTTCCAGCTTCCAGATCGTTTCAAGTTGGAGTTCTCTGCTGAGGATGAAACCAAGTTAGAAAGGCCAGTGATGATACATAGAGCAATCCTGGGATCTGTGGAACGTATGTTTGCTATACTATTGGAGCATTACAAGGGGAAGTGGCCTTTCTGGCTTAGCCCACGTCAAGCAATTGTCTGTCCTGTGTCTGCCAAATCAGTGGACTATGCAAAACAAGTTAGTTACAGATTCTCTTTATATGCTGTTGTTCAGAGTTCAGACTCAGTTTCTCTCTCACCTAGGCTCCTAGAGCTGAGTTTATTATAAATTTCCAAGGGCTTATCTTTTGAAATTTGCGATCGTTTAATGGAGAGTTTGATCCTCTGTCCTGTGTTTTTATCTTCTTGTTAATCTGTTCTCTATCATCCAACCTAAGCTTAGCAGAGATAATGACATATTCTTGCTTGAATTACAGGTACGAGATAGGATTCATCAAGCTGGATATTATGCGGATGCTGATATAACAGACAGGAAGATCCAGAAAAAGGTTTGCATGCAGCTTCTATGCTTATAATCCCATTTTACCCTATTGAGATAAGTGTACGTGCATATATTTACTCAATTGATTTGTCTGGGTTAATCCAGGTAAGAGAGGCCCAAATAGCACAGTACAACTACATTTTAGTTGTCGGCGAAGAGGAAGCCAACACAGGCCAGGTACAACTCTACTGCTGCCACTGTGCGACTATGCAGATTGGTGTACTTAAATAATTTTGTGGTTCTTCAACTCCAGCTGCTCACATATTACATATATATATATCGTAAATGATGAGAGCTCAGAACTGGCCGTCACTTAGGAGGCATTTGCTTGCTTGGCTCGTAGAGCTAACGGACTAGTGTGGTAATGCAGGTGAGTGTGCGGGTCAGAGACATTGCGGATCACTCGGTGATGAGCATAGAGAGCTTGCTCCAACACTTTGCCGACGAAACTGCTGCATTCCATTAGCGGCTCGTACTCCAAAGACCACAAGCTTGCTTATGTTGTTAGAGATCGACTTGCGCAGGTTCTGCCTTCTAAGATTATTTACCATTTGCCTGCCTCATTTTGACAGTGTAGCAACGAACAGGAGGGTTGCTTGGGGTGAGTGATGAAACAAATGATACAGGGAAGTTTCTTGACTGGTGTCTTTTGAATGCTGTAGTTCTGCTGAACTCTTTTTTTCCCCAGCAGAACAACTGGTTTGCAAATTTCCTATCACTCGCTCTGTTAAAGTTCGTTTGTGACGTTTACAAACTGGTTCGGAATCGCTTACAATACAACGATAGAGGATGCACGATTGGCGTGATTCGGGGTACATCAACCGTGTTTTAATACATGTCATATACTATGTTGATATTGTGGAGACGAAAAGAGAACACTGAGATGATGGGATAGGGTGATGATGTGGGGGGAGTAAGGGATAGTGTGCATATTTCCATATTGCCAACCAATAGAACACTAACTACAGTGGCAAGCAATGAGTCGAGTCATTATGTAATGGAGGTGGATACAATTGTCACCCATTCTTGTGAATGGGAATCTTGGCCGCTGCCGTGGTACGAACCGGCCGACAAGCCATGATGATGATGATGAGGCTATGAAAGAAGAAAAGAAAAAAAAAAGAGAGCAAAACTTGTGAAAGAGAAGAAAAACTGGGCAGGGGAAAAAGGGGAAGAGAGGAAATTAAGTCGTCGATCAATAATGGTGGGGGAAAAAAAGGAGGAGGCATCATTGAACGTGCGAGCAAAAACGTTGTTCTGGACGCGGAAACGGTACTACTCGACGTTAATACACACGTCATGCTCTGTTCTATGATATAATCTCTATCCCAGTAAACCCTTTCCTTGCGTGATTAAGACCTTTTAATAAAAAGTGTTGAATGATCAAAGATAATATATAGTAGTTAAAAGAAAGGGCTTTTTTTCTTGTTTGGGAAAGAAAGTGAAAAGAAGCAGATGTGGTTGTGGATCTAACCCCAAAAAGATGATAACAATCGACACCACACCATGCATGCTCCCTAATATATGTCTCCTCCCTTGCGGTATATGTATAATTATAAAATAGATACTTTTTAGTGGTAGTAGGCTGCAGCTAAGAATTTATCTCATCTACGATATACACTACGGACAAAATCAGGACTTCAAAATAGAAAATGATATGATAATATTAAAAATAAAAATATTATTACATTAATCTTATCATTACTATATGGGAGATTCTCTATCAGAACACACTCTATTCGAAACTTTCAACATTATGAGAGTTTGTAGGAAGGACATTTGAATCATTTAAATTATTAAAACAAAGCATTTGATAGAATTCTAAATCAATAATATCTCATGCACGAGAGCTTATTGATGAATCCTAAAAAAGCCCAAGTTCTCTCTTCCTTTTTTTTTTGGTACCAACATTTTTATTCACTAATAATAAATATGTCCAAATAAAATATTTCGTTTGAAAACCAAGGATTTTAAACTATTGAGTTAGTAGCTACGCCGATTAAGAATCTTTAATTGCTAAGGTTTCATATGTCCAAACATTTTCAACTCAACTAAAATATCACTGAAATGAAGGAGAAAGAGTTTATTGGTGGTAGAGGTAGTGAATTCAAAAATAGTGATAGTGAGTAGTAACGTTGTTGAGAGGAATAGATAGACTATTGATGATCGACAAAGAGGTTTCAGTGAAGAATATGAAACTACAGTTATTATAGAGATTATGATACATCTGGTGAAACAATAGCAAAGAAGTCGGTAGAAAAATTACAACAATTTCCTACCGTAAGAAGTAAATTGAATTGTAGTTTGATAATTTATTTTTTTAAGAGTTAGTTCCCTTCCGTGAGCTCTATTTTTTATTTTTAGTAAGAACTTCCGTTGATGAACCTGTTAGCATATCATAAAAAACTTTACGATGTATGCTCATTTTTTATATTTTTCATTAATTGAATAGTTTAAATCTTTTGATTTTTTATATCAATAAAAATATATATTGCTTCGTACAATTACAATTGTTGGTTATGTGTTTGAAATAATGTATCTAGTCAACAGCCAAGGTACTTTTGTTGATGAACCGGTTAGCATATAAGAAAACACTATGATGAGTGTTCATTTTTTTTAATTAATTGAATAGTCCAAATCTTTTGACTTTAGATATCGATAAAAATATATCTTGATTAATACAATAACTGTGATTTCTTATGTGTTTGAAATAATGCATCTAATCAACGGGTCGGGTTCAAATATGGTAATAATATAAAGAGATTATGCATCAGGGTGTATTTGTTCATTTTTTCCTGCTCTCCCCATGAGTCTAGGAGGGATAATAATGTTCTGTCTAAAACGTAACAAATATAATGTTCTGTTTAAAGAGAAGATTATAATAATGTTCCTTCTCTTTTATTTTCAATTGTTTATGGTATAAATATTTTCTACTTCTCCCTATGGCGAGGCGTGCTACATGTTTCATTCTGCCGTGGTTTCTTCCACGTACTAAGTCGTGTTCTTTTCAATTTTACATTCTTCCTCCTATTGTTTATATTTACATGTAACATACCGCAAGGGTTTTCATAAAATAAAATATTATTTTTATTATATCATTATTTGTATATGACAATTTTAATATAAAGTATACAAATCATAACATAAAATATATAAAATAGAATAACAAATATTATAAATCAAAATATATATAAATTAGTCATGTAAACATTACAAACACAATAGACAAAATAACAAACTAGAATGATAAACGATACAAATCGACTTGATATAAACAGTACAAACTGGACTTATAAACATTACAAAACAGGTCGACAAACCCACGAATCCATCACTGTCGCCGAAAAATCCACCTACATTGTCTCTGGTCGCCGAAAAATCCGCCGATCACCGGCAATCCACCTCTCTCTCTCTCTTAGAGTACTAGAAAAAGGTCGGGGAAAAAAATTCCCCACGCCGCCGGGAATTAGTCCCCCACGCGGCCGGGAATTCCCCAAACGGCCGGTGGAGCAAGAAACGGCCGGCGTAGCGCGGGAGACGCCGGGAAAAAAACCCATGCCGCCGTCAATTCAGCGACTGGGCGGGAGGGACGAGCCAAACTTTTTTTTTTTATTAAAAAAATAAATAATCATGTAATTAGTTCATTGCCTTTCATTAAATTAACTAGGATCATTGAATTTTAATGAGATGAAGGGTTGAAATTCACTTATTTAAGTGACTAATAAACCCTCTTAATCACCTGATTTTATCCCAGCTGCTTTCCTCCTCTACCATTCTCTCCCCATATATTTTCCTTATAGATATATAATAGAGGGAGGGTAAACAGAAGAAAGGCGAAAGGAGAAATCAAACCAAACCAAACCATAACATCACATATACCCCAATATGAAAATAAGTGAAAATTAAATTAAATAAACAAAAAAAAAAGATGGAACTAATGTCATCAATCATTACTTTGTAGGTAGCATCAACCAACCCAAAAAAGATACAAAAAAGAAAAGATAAGATAAAGAGGGCAGGTCACTCATTAATTAATTAGGATGAAATCAAATGCATGTCCAGTACCACCCTAACATGATAAGCCGCCATTTTCAGCTAGCGCTAATCCTCCATAATTAATCAACTTTCTACTTATTCTCACTCACTCACTCACTCACTAGATCCCAAATATATATATATATGATGATAAGAATATAATCACTGAAAATAAGCGTTGTTGTTGGTGGTAGTAGTACTAGCACAGTTGACATTCAAATCACGGTGGTGGAGATGAAACTCATGATGATGATGATGATGGCGGCGATGGCCGCTTTTACCATGACTAGACGTCATCGTCGTCGTCGTCTTTGAGCTGCTGCTCTCCCCAACTTCACGATGCCCGTCCATATCATACCGTTGATCATCATCATCATCACGGTCTTCCCCGGCGGCAGTCTCCTCCTCCATCCCGCCCATGAACTCATGATGCGGCGGCGGCGGCGGGGGGACGACGGAGGGGAGCTTGGAGAGCAAGGCTTCGAGGCTGCTCATCGACGGAGCTACCTTGAACGGCAGCAGGCTGCCGCTGCTATTCATCATCATCGTCATGTGATTATTGTTGTGATGGTCCGCGTACAGCTGATGATCTGCCCCGCCGCCGCCGCCGCCAGTGAGTTGGTAATAAGCCGCGGCTTCATGGTGGTGGTGCGGCAGCGGCGGAGGCGGTAGCATCGGGTGGTTTCCGCCGCCGCCGTAACCGTAACCGTAAGCGTCCATTCTCATGGGGAGGATTTGGGTAGGTGAAGAACAAGGGTGGGGCAGTAATACTCCTGGAATGCTCTCTATGTAGCTCAGCTTCTTCCTCAGCGTTACCACGTAGCTCAAATCCTCAACCACCTTCAATTTCATTCCATAAACAACGTGTATTTTAGATATTAAAAAAAATGTCTGTTTTCATGTAGATGCATGCATATGATGATGATTGTGATTATTGCATGTTTTTGGCTGTTTTAGGGGAATAGAGAGCCTTATAATGATGTGTTTTTTCATGGACAATAAATAAGAAAAATTCGTCAAAAAATGGTAAATTTTGCTTTTTTTGAATATCCGACAAACTCGTTAGCTATTTACCTGTACTAAACAGGATATATATATGAAAAAGATTTAAGAAAGAGGTTTAACTTGGTGGTGAAGAGAGAGTAGAGTAGAGTACCTTGTGGACAGCTCCAAGTTGGACAACACCTTCTCGGACAGCAATCAGTGCTATGGTCTACCAAACCAACACACAACATTATATTATATAATAAATTATTTCTGGATTTTTGAAAAACCACCAAACACAAATCAAAAGAAAGGTAGGAAGTAGAAAAAATTTTTGGAAATGAAGAGATTTGAGAGCTAGCTATGGTGAGAAGAGATCTATCTGTTTACCTTTATTCCAGACTGGAACTGGGCTTCCCATGTTCTTGGTTGCTGTAACATATATAAAAAAGAGAAAGATGATCATTCTGGTGTAGGTAGTGAAACTAATCATCAAGAATGAAGAGGGCCAAAGATTTTGTTGATTTAAATACAGAGTCAGCTGAGTTGTGCCATGTAGACAAGAAGTTGATCTCTTGCTCATTTGGTTCCTTGTGTACCCACTTGTGGCTGTGATCTGCTGCTACTTTCCCTATCAATCTGACACAGACCAAAACTTCATTTACTCTCTCTCCTGATCTACTTGCTCTCTCTATAACCCAGAAAGTAATTAAATCAGATTTTGATAAAAAAAATAAATATACATACCCTTCCCCATAGTTGTAGATTTCATGGGACATCTTGAAGAAGAGCTCAGGCTGCAGCCCTTGATGCTGCTGCTGATGATATTGCTGCTGCTGAAACTCATAACCAGAAGCAGAAGCAGAAGCAGAAGAAGTGGTGGTGGTGGTGGTGGTTTCTGCTGCTGTTGCTGAAGATGCAGCAAAGTTGCAGTATCCATCTTCCCACACCAATATCCTGCTCTCCCCCCCACATTATTTCATCATCATTCAATCATATCAATCTCCACTAGCTAGGAATATATAAATATTTATTAATAAAAAAAACACTTATTTAAAAAAAAAATGGGTGGAAAAAAGGGTGGGGAAAAAGAAAGAGAAGAAGTACCAATTCCTCCTGTTGCCTCTAGACCGGTCATACGCTCCTTGCCCATCCCATCTGCAATATAGGTTAAAAAAAAAAGGAATCTTATCATGAATAATAATGTGATTAGATGCATTTGATCCTATAACCGTAACTTCTGCCTAGCTAGATACTGTCTCCCTGAACAACAAGAAGAAGCAGAAGAAGAAAAAGGACAGATGCATATATATATAGGATATTTTTAACACTAGTACTTGTGATTTGATTAAACAAGAGTATTAATCTGCGTACTTGGGAGGAGGATAGTTTCTGGGCAAGATCCTCCAGAAGACAGCATAAACCCACTGAGAGTTGTCATTGTTGCACAAGCTCCTCAGTGTGTGTTGAAGCAGATGAGTGATGGCTAACGGGCTGAGATGTTCTTCCATTTCCAACAACACACAGCAAGGAACAAGAGCAAGAGCAAATGAGCAATCACCTTTCCCTTTCTCTCTCTCTCTCTCTTTTCTGCTCTTTTGTGAGAGTGGAATGGGTTTGCCTCACTACTACACTCACACTAGTTTAAGCTAAGGTTGTACTCTTTTTCGAAAGGAGGCTAGCCAAGCACCCAGCAGGCTCTCCTCCTCTTTACCCTTCCTTTATATAAGCCCCACCAACAAGGGAAGATCCTTATCATACCCCTATTTCCCTTTTCTATTATTATTATTTTATTTAGAAAAGATCGAGGACGGACGCTCCTGTTTGATGTTCGTATAAAGTCTGGGTTCCGAAAATGTCAAAAATATCGTAAATCGGCCAATAAAACAAGTTAGATTTTGGCGTGAATGAATAATACATGTAATGATCTACACGAGAGTACTTCAAATAATGAATCAAGTGCATTTCTAGAGTGTAATCCGTAAGTAGAACCACCATTCGAGTTTCGAGACCCCGACGGGAAATACCATTAATTATTCATTTTACATATTATACTTTCTTTCTTCTTCTCTCTTGCCTTGTGGTATTATGTTTAATGATGGTATATATATATATATGCTTTGAAAAAATTTGTATCAAAGTTGATATATTATATAAGGAGGGGCCCTCACTCCATGTTTTGCGATTCTGAGTTCTCCAAAAAGTCCCTCTCTCCAGTAGTAATGTATTAATCCTCCTCTCTTCAAGGACTACTGTTCTGTAGTGTGATTTCAGTACACTGCCTTTTTCCTCTCTTGGGGTAGGAATGGGCAATGGGCAGGTCTGGGGCGGGTATCTCGATACTCATACCCGCCCCGTGGCAGGTCAGGTCCGGGTCGGGTAATTTATCACGAGGCACGGGTCGGAATAGGTCGACCCATTGGGTATATAATTTATGCGAAAAATATTAGAATTATTCATTATTTTAATTAAAAGATCAAGAAAGAAACCATAATTTGATAAAATGTAGTTAAATTATTGGAGAAATTGAGTTTTTCACTTATTTACAACTTTATTATACCTAAAATATGATGTAATAAGAAGAAAATCCTAAGTAATTTGACTAAGATTACATGTAACTTAGGCCAAAAACGGGTCAAGAATGAGGCGGGTCAGGGCAGGTCGGGTCGATGAGAGATACCCATTCCCGCCTCGCCCCGCCTACGGGATGGGTCAGACCTGCCACAAAACAGGTCAAACAGGTCGGGTAAATCGGGTCAGGTCGAAATTGTCATCCTACTTGGCTACTCAGCTTTTATTTACATATATTCTTTGGGTTGGGGATGAGATGACTCTACAACAATCTATATACATACTTTGGATAATACGAACCGTGAGAACGTGCTCACAACGGGTTGAGCATTGTCGAATTAAGTGTTGATTGGTTTGTGATTGCTGTACAAATTTGATGATGATAATTTTGTAAATAAAATTACACCGAATTCATTCACCAGCCAGCCACTATCCATGAAAATCAAAATTAAACGTGTCCATTCGTAACATTAACAGCTACCTTTCGGCTTGCGAGTCAGAAGGTACCTTAGGTCATGTACCTTTCTCTTCTCTTCCTCTTCTCTTTTAGTTTTCATTTTACATTATTCTTCTAAATAGACCTCCTAATCACAAGGAAAAGGCTAAATAATAATATGTCACGTGCCAGAAAACCCAACTGATCATTGATTCATTATAGTACTTCTCTCGAAATACATACATAGCCGAATGGTGAGGAATTGACGATGTAATGATGTATTAGACTACTTGTATGCATTCTTTTTTTACTTTACCTTTGTGATTTGGAAAAAGTATGTATTTCCAAGACTTTTAGGGGCTCGCTTGGAGAATTTGAGTCTAAATTTATATATTTTAAATAATATGTTAAAATGTTCGTTGTTTGATAATTGTGAGGGTTAAGAATCAATTAAAAATAGATTTTTTTTATCATTATCATCAACCAACAGAATTAAAATGCATCGAGAAATATTGAAACTTCATTTGTAAGAGTATATAGCGGGATAAATAAATAAAAAAGGAAGAAAAAATGTATGACAAAAAATCTCAAAATTTAGATTTATAATCTTTATGATTATAAGAGATTAGATATCTTTAAATTTAAGACATTTGAAATCTTTGAAGGTGAAATTTACGATAGAATAGCAACAAAAAACACAATTTTTTTTATCGAATCTATGAATTCACCGAGTCAATGACCCATCCAGTCAAGTTGGCTTGCGAGAATCACAAGTTGAAAAAAAAAAACTTAACTTCAAGTTAACTCGTTATTAACAAGACAATTATCAAGCTATTTTTTCTCGAATTTAACATCGAGCCGCTCGATTCATCTGCAGCCCTACATATTACTCTACAATTTCATCATCTCTTTTATCTCATACATAGTTTAATCATTTGGTCAAATGTATAGATTTATATATCCCTGTGGACAAACAAAGTCCACCGTTTATCTTCTTCTGACTTGCTCTGTTTCTGCAGCTAGCTAGCTAGCAGACCGAAAATGGATTTCTTTACATGTGAGATTTGTTTGTTCCTTCTCCTCTCTGTTCTGCATTTCCATGGATTCACCCATATATGCAGATTATAAAAAATGATAGCAAGAATGGAAGTTTCTGGGTCACATTATCGGGAAATCTCCAAGTCTGTCACTCAGCTTGATTTTTTAATTCGACCCCAAGTTTGTCCCCTTTCGTTTCATTTTGATCAGGCATCATTCCCAAGTGTGAAGTAGTACTATTGCTGCCTATACATTTTAATTTGTAACTTGGCCATATCGATCGATCCTCTAATTATCTAATGTGGGCATGTTTCAGGTCGTCAGAGATGGGCCGCCTGCCTGTGTTTACATAGAAACTGTAAATTTGTGGACGCACACCAGAGGAAAAACAATTATATATCGATGTGTTAAACGATCGACGTTGGAGTTGTTGCTGCTGAGGTTGTGCTGGATTCAACGTACAAAAAGTTGCTGTGTTTAGTTTAGTGGTCACCTGTGAAATCGCTTCGGTGGTAATCAATCATCACCAAAGGTGGTTGTTTAGCTGTAATTAGTTGATAGGCAGCCACGGATTCAGGACACAATAGAGCACCGAGCCGAATTTCATAAGAAAATTAGATATGGTAAAAAAATCACAGTTTTTTTACAATATCAATTGTATACGTCGGTTTTTTAAATTTTAATATAGTGAATTCACCAATAATAGAGTTTACATCCATACCAATAGCATACTCTCTTTAAGATAAAATAGTTAAAGTAATTGGCGAGAAATTCATCGCTCATTTTGTTGCGCACATAAATTTTCACATATTTCATTGTTGAAAAGGTTCTCTCCATAGTAGTTGAAACGAGCAATGGCAACACTGGACAAATCAATCGACTAATCAATATATATTGTGTATCAATTCCTATTTTCACCAGCTGCTCTAGTAATTTCTTAAGGGAATAAACCTCATATTTCTTTTAGTCTTTACCTTTTAGAATTTTAGGTTTCATTGTTTGTTTTTCTTTAGATGAGAATCATTGGAGCTAGAATTTTCAGGCTAAATTTAGAGTTGTGATTTGAATATGTTCATCTTACCAATTTTTCTAATTACACACAATCTTATTACAAATTAACACTGGGCCGAATGGTTAAAATCGATAAACTCATAAGGACTATACTAGCTCCGGATCCAGAGGAGGGTTGGGCCATGGCTCGGGGTGGCCACCCCCTGGATCCGCCACTATTGATAGGTCAATAACTCGAGTTGTTGGAAGAAACATAATGATGGAGTTTATTTTAACATTCTATTAAAAATTGGTAAATTTTGTGATTTGCACATGTTTTGAAATCATGTTGAAAATCAATTAGTCCCGATTTTTGGAAGAAAATCAATAATAAAGCTTGAATCATTTCATAACTATTAATTATTAATTAATATATTAAAGTCGCAAGCAAGCCACAAGCGAGGTTACTATTCCTCACGACAAAATAGGGCTATAATTATCCCCGCTACTGTTCATAAGGGGTTGTATCCCCTATACCCAATTTCACTATAAACTGTTCATAGTTAGTTGTTTGTACTCTTTTGCAATAATTATGAAATCGTAGAGAAGTTTATACAGGAAAAGGCAGTCGTAGGGTATTGTGTACTAAGATCATGGTTCAACCTTTTCATATCGCTAAAATTACCTACCGGTTTGGGTACAGTATTTGTTATTCCGATTTCTGTAGCGGTATTCCAGATTTGATGTTTATCTTCCCATTCTGCTTCCTCATCTCATGACCAGGGGCGGAGCTAGGTGGAGCCCTCCCCCCTAGAATTTCGAAACCACGTACAAAATTTCTTCGGATTATGAAAAATTACGTATAAAATAGATGTTATTGTAATATTAACTTTGTGTGCAGTAATGTGATAAGAAACGAAGCGGCAGACGAGTGGTAGAAGAGTCTATCTTGCAAAATTGGTGCACGGTTTTGAATCTTGCCTATAGCAAATTAGCTCTTGTTTTTGACATTCTCAAGTTGTAAGCCACGTTCTCACCTAAACTACAGCAAATTAAGTGTTATTTTGCCCTTTTCATATTGAAATAAGCCAATAAATTGTTTGAAAAGGATAAAAATGAGCTATGTTTTTGACATTCTCAAGTTGTAAGCCACGTTCTCACCTAAACTACAGCAAATTAAATGTTATTTTGCCCTTTCCATATTAAAATAAGCCAACAAATTGTTTTGAAAAGGATAAAAATGAGCTACATATTGAAATGCATGATTAATTTTTTTCATAATTTAATCATTTGTTTTGAGCATATCAGATAGTAAATAATTATCTCAATTCTTGTTTCGTTATGATAATAAAAATTCAATAAACTTTTTTTGTCATGGTAAACTAAACAACTTCCCCCCCCCCCCCCCCCCCCGAGATTCAAATCCTGGCTCCGTCCCTGCATGTAACATATCCAATATGTAATTATGTGGCTTATGCCGACTCTCATAAAAGCATCAAGCTTTCATTGCCAACATTTCTAATATGGATGAGCCAAAGAACTTTAACCAGACAGTTTGGTCCGAGAATTAGCAGGTAGCCATACGTACGGAGATCTCGGCCATGGAACTGAATCACAACTAGACCCTAGTTTTTTTTTTTGATAAGGGTG